TCATGTAAGTACGAAATGGGATTGAATTCTCGGTCAAAAAATTCAGTCCGATCCTTTCCATCCAGCCGGAAAGGTGGAAAAAGAAAGAGAGAAAGCGTAATTTGATGGAAAAAAGATGAAGTTGAGGAGAAAGTGCAGCAGAAATGGAAGTGGGACGGGAAATGAGACCAAAAAGTGGTCGAAATGTGGATTTGCTAGGAATAGAAAATGGAGAAAGTGACGTGAGTGAAAGGTGGTTGGTAGTGTTCCTTGGTTGGTTGCTGAGATGGTAAACATGGTGAATTAATCTTGTCTCTCTCCTCTGCCAAACCAGTTTTAAACCAGAAAAAGGCGAAGAAAAATGACGCCGTTGAGGAATAATTCTAGGTGAAAAGTTTCAGAATTTTAAAAAATTTAAAAAATTTAATCTTAAAAATATTTCAGACACAACTTGTATGCAAAACCCGTTTCATTTTTGGCATCACATGTGAAACTGCAATTTTTATTTCCTCCAATTTTTTTGACTCGACATTTTCGATTTAGATTCTAATCCTGCATCCGCCCCATACACGGGCAATATTGACATGATAAGTGAAGGAACGAGACGGGTTGTGTAACATCCGGTTTGATCGGGATAACATAATAATCACATCTGTCCCACTCCCCGTTATTACTCTCTGCCTGCATCATGAGGTGGATGAGGGCATGCATTATGCATAAGTTTCATCCTTAGTGAAAGGTCACCTTCATTCGGAAGAAGGACATTCCAACATCTTTTTGCAAGGGGTGAAAGATTTTGGTGTCAATGGAGCAGGAATAAGTGGAATTCCGGGGTAATTGGGGTATTCGCATGGATCCCAGAAAGTGCAAAATTTGACAAAAATACGGTTTAAAAATTCATTATTTACACTTCCTCTAGTTGAAGAATTTTTATTAATGTGATATTCATTATTCGTGGGTAAATATGTGTAAAAAAGAACATACACATGCCGCTTAGCTCAACAATGAATGGAAGATTGGCCTACATTTTATGCGACAAAAAAGGAGAGAGAGTTTAGTCAGGTGTGAAAAGTGGATCGTTTTTAAACATCTCAATCCCACTCGACTTTTACTCATCTTTATTCCGCTCCATATCCAGTCAAATGTAGGAAAATGTGAATGAGTAGGAGAATAAATTGTACTGGGTGGGGAAAAACGAGAAAAACTGTAATATTCCGTCCTCTTCATGGGTATGGATGGATGGATGATGTAAGAAATATAAATGTTCTTAGATCGTGGAACTTACCAGTTTTTTGAGGACGTAACAAGATTGATTTTGGGTTTAAGTGATAATATTATGCACAGATTTTGTTATGAATACCCAATCGCATTACGTAAAGTGAAAGCCATTGGTCTCAATGTGTATTTTCTCCATATTTTTAACTCATTTTATAGTCAAACTAACAGTGGAGGTGGTGCAGTGTACGCTCTTCGATTTTGAGCAAACTAGTGCATGTCACTCGATCGAAAAGGATTAATATGGAATTTGCAAAGGAAATGCTCACTCAATGAGCAGGCTAAAGCAAATATATTTGCGTCCGAAGAGGAGAAAATACGCCACAAAGTTGATAAACGTTACATTTTCCAAATTTACTGCGAGTTTTCTCCTCCTCGGATACAAATATCTCTGCCAAACGTGCCCATTGGGAGATCGTGGCTTTTGCAAATTTCACACTAATTAAATTTGTTACCCATTGAGACAAGTTTGATCAAAATCAGAGAGTATACGCTGGGAGACCTCCATTCCAAATAACTTACCTTATTTTAATCGCTAGCCATTAACACATACGAGTCCCAGCTTCATCAGACTTGATAATATCAAATACAAAAGAAAACGTTTAAAGACAGAACCTCAATAACTCACCGACTTTTTATATCCTTTCATATTCGTAATTTGAGTGCATATTGTATCCTATATTATGACAATAACATGACACGTGAGTAAAGTCTGCCCCACGATTTTAATATCCATAAGTGAGCCCCCAGTTGCACCGCGGGTGGTGGAAGTCCAAAAGTGGATTGGATTGTGTCGAAATTAGGTAAATGCATTATGAAAAAAAAAATCATTCAATACATACTCCCAACATGTGAACCAGTACATACTTCCCTGTACTAAAAAATGCGTCGTACTTTCACCGGAAGTAAATAAACTTGGGCTCATGTAAATATTTTCTTTCAGTAAATAACTCACACTACCAATTCACTCCCTACGCCCAGCTTGTTTACCAGATTGACTGATCCTGAGTGGATTGAATCGGATGACCTAGTGTGTTATGTACATACGTGCATATAAAAATCACATCAGACGAAATCCAGTCAAGTAAACAGATGGAGAGGAGTGATTTTCTCATAGTGGGAATTTTCTCAACTGGAGAAAGTGTGCCGAGCAAGGAAAGAGGAAATGTTCAGGAGAAAGTTGGCACGCTGAAATGGCTTTCACTATGTTACGTTCACTTCCTTTTTTACATGAATGAATGCGACTCTCTGCCTCTCCGTCCCTTTGGCGGGAAGTAATCACTCAGCCTAGGAAAGCAGGCAGAAAGTGGGTGTGCCCCACCGTCGACTGTGTACATAATCATTTACCTTGAAAAAGGACTTGTCTCGGGGATGGATTACCTCGGCGGAGTGAAATGGAAGTGAAGTAAAGGTGGGTTCGAGTAATTTTTACTCGAAAAACACCATACGAAACCAGTCTGGTTTCCTATAGTATTCGTATAATTATACAGTTTTGGAAGGTGTCCAGAACCTTGTATTATTATTTCGTGTCTTTTTATTTATTTACTTTCTCCACCATCCGTGAAATACTTTTTACTACTTTCTTCTCCTTCTTCTTCTCCTTTACATTCATTCACTTTTGACGCCATCCATGTCAAAATGTGTCTATTTTTAGGAGACGAAGTAGTTCCTGTTGTGTTGCCGACTTACTTCCTCATTTTTGGCGAGGGATCAATTCTCAGTTTGCTAAATAAAGTGGGCAATATGTGTGTGCCCTACGTTATCCGTGTATTGTTATGTATTTTCTTTTCCAGCTGCTCAAAACGATGTCTAGACGAGTATTCAAAAGGACAAGATCCATCCATCGAGTGGAATACTTTAAGCAAATCTTGAACAGGAGTGACGCCCAGAGGCCGCGGAAATGTGGGGACGGGGGGACACGGTTATTGGATCTGCCCATGTTATATAAACCCCTCCCTCCCCTTCCCTACAATGTTAATGTCCCAACATGTCCCCACAGCTTCCGCGGCAACTGGTGGCGCCATTACGTTACGTACATGGACCAAATGTTCTCTCGTAAACTTTAATCCTTTACAGATCACAAGTTCCTCCACGACGAAGCGCAGTTTTCCCCGCTGCACAGGAATCTTGATAGGTTTCTGTTTGCATAATCATAAGAATATTGCAGTAGATTAGTAGTCTGACAATGCGATGGTGTGAAGTGTAACCCTCCGATTTGGCTGAAATTTTAAAATTAGGTGGTCCAAGCCAATACAACTAACGTTTCTTCAGGCAGTTTGTGCGATGGTGAGAGTTACTCAAAATATTTGAGGTCAAAGTTCAAAAAACGGCCGACTTTTTTCAGGCGGAGTGAGAAAACTCCACTTCCATTCTCTTCCCCTCGCTTTGATTTTATTCAGGCGTCTCGCTCATGCATACGCCTTCATGCTCAAGCACAAGCTTTGATGCAAAATAATAAAAAATAAACATTATTAATTATAGCTTAAAGAGCAATTAATACGCATTATACATACTTAATTTAATTTATAATTAAATAAGTGAGATTTTTACTTATTTCTAGTACAAATTTACATAAAAGTTAATTTATAAATTCGCCAACGGCAAATAAACATGGAAAAACTTAACTTGCTTTCCATTTCGAAAGCGTTGGTTATTCTAATATCCAATTATATATTAATATTTTAAATGCTCCTGTGATTCGATATTGTTGGTACTCAAGCGGATCATGGGGTGATGACGAAAAGCCCGAGTTTAAAAATGTAAGCGAAGTTTGTTTTAGAGAAAAAAATATTAGTTGCGACCTGAATTGTGGCAATCCCACATTCATCAAATTCAGCTGGTGCAGTTTATCGTATTGTTTTGTGGACTTTTATGAAAATAATCATATAGTCACATGTGGAATGAATAATTAATATTTTTCTATAAAAAATTAAATTTAAAATTGTTGAAATGAATTATTTTTCGGAGTGAAAATCAAAGCGAGGGGAAGAGAATGGAAGTGGAGTTTTCTCACTCCGCCTGAAAAAAGTCGGCCGTTTTTTGAACTTTAACCTCAAATATTTTGAGTAACTCTCACCATCGCACAAACTGCCTGAAGAAACGTTAGTTGTATTGGCTTGGACCACCTAATTTTAAAATTTCAGCCAAATCGGAGGGTTACACTTCACACCATCGCATTGTGAGAGGCTCGGAACGGTTGCGTAACGTAATATTGACGCAAGGACCAATTTTGTGAGAGCAAATATTAACCGATCTCACATAACTGGCATTTTAGCGTTGGTGCGTGTTTTCTGAGGAGAATTTAATGTCGTGGTGGTGAAAGTGGTGGTGGTGGTGGTGAAAGTAAAGAAAGAGAAAAAAACTAGGGCGAAAGAAAATATATTTATTTTTAGGTAAGATAATAAAATTTTGGGGAAGTGTTAGGATGGTTATGTACATATGATTTGATGCAAAGTACAAAAATATCTATGTAGATCAGAGTTGAGTTGGATCAACGATTTCAGAAACCCGATCCGATCCCATCTGTTTCTTGGATTTAAAAAAATATCCGATCCGATCCATTTTTTGAATTGACAAAATATCCGATCCAATCCAAACGGGTCGGATTATCCGAAAAAACGGATATCCGACTGAACTCTGAGTAGTTGACAACTTTTGGACCAAAACATGTCTGATTTTCGTTATGCAATCACAAATTTTGTGAAATCTGATTCCCTTAATAATTTATCTTCCCTTCTTTTGTACAGGTTTCCGGTCCGAGGTTGCCGCCGCAGTATCATCAGGTTCTTATCTGCCCCCGCGTCCACTTCCGGTCCAACAGCAGCAGCGTCAAAATGCTTCGTCCTTGTCCAGCTTAACGGCAGGATTTAGCATACCGGGACTAATCGGTAATGCGAATAGTGGCAGCAGTGTGAGATTTGGAGGGGGAACGACTTCGACGACGACGACGTGGTCAACGTCGCCACCTTCGGGAGGAGAGGCCTTGGTCGACGATGACTATCCATTCGAAAACAATACTTTCTCCAATGCCACCGTTCCTCTCGGGGACTCGGCGTTTTTAAAGTGCACCGTCAAAAACTTGGGGGAAAGAGAGGTAAGTATGTAGAATGTTATTATTAGCGAGTATTTAAGTTTTGGGTATGATTTTTCCTACCAAAATTTTATAAATTACTTATTTCTTAGGTATTTTGGATACGGCGACGAGACATGCATATCATATCTGTGGGTAAAAATGTGTACACGAACGACGAAAGATTTCATATTCTTAACTTTGAGGGATCTGACGACTGGACGTTGCAGATAAAATACGTCCAAAAACGCGATAATGGGTGAGTCTTGAAAAAATGTGTAATTATATTTCTAAAAATAAATACAGAATAATAACTAATTTTGCTTGATTTTAATTTTATGTCTAACCTAAACAGGACTTACGAATGTCAAGTAAGTAAAACTTTACAAATTTCAATTAATTTAATAAATTTTGTCTGCAAGAAATTATTGTTTAATTGTTCCATTTTTTATAAATATTTTCATATCATAATTTTCTAACCAAATTTTGAAATTCTTTTCAAAATAAGTAGGTTAAAATAAACCCGCATCTATACTATAGAATTATTTCTGGATGATGATTAAAATTCTAAAGTCGTCCCGAATTGTTTGATATCATTAGCATTCTTATTGCCAAAATGATTAACACTAACGAGTCTTTGAACACTTGAGAGTGAAAGTAGAGTCATTCCGCTCATGGAAATCTTTCTTGCCAAGTTTTCAACTTTTCGCCTCCTTCATTCTTCTTCTTCCGAGTGGAGGAGAAGCTGTTAAATAAATGAAGATCTAAGCCAAGCAAGAAACAAATTGTACCAGAAACGAGCACATAACAGACGACATAACGAAACGAAATCTAAATTTGAAATTCATAAACTTTTCCCATTCGTGGGGATATTGTGGCTTAACTTTAGTTTAGCCTCTCCGTAAAGATGAGTCCTCTATTGGGCTCGATTTGTCAGAGTGTAAAGGAAGGAAGTGATTCTTTACGTTGAAATGAGACCAAAATAATTCGCCAAGATTTTAGCGAAATGCGCAAAATTATTAAATACTAAAATTTGGTAATAATTTGCGTAAAAGTAAAATTTTTCAAGTATCACTTCTTACTAATTTGTGTCTGCAGTCTTAAAAGCATTTTAATCTCAATAATTCGACAAGATTTCACCGAAATGAGTAAAAATTATTAATAAATACTAAAATTTTGAAATATCTAATTTCCTCAAAAGTAAAATTTTTCCAGTGTCACTTACCAATTTAGTTCATCCCTTTATTTATACCCTCTTTTCACTACATTTTCATGCAAATTTTTCTTCCTTTTATAATCTAACTTTAACTCGTAACTCGCTCAAACTTTTCAAATTCTTCGCATCCCATCGTTTGTTACCATTCGAATTTATTTATTACTTTCGAAATAAATCAACTTTCTCCGCAGTTCGCAAAAGACATAAAATCTAACCAATCCAACATATAGACACACAGCAGGACAAGAATAATAAATGTAATTAAGGTCAAACTTTCCCGTATTTGTTATTTCTCTGCTCCACTCATAATTATACTAATGACAAATTGATTTTCGTAATTAGGACGGTTCCCTTCCCTTACTTTCTCTCTCTCTGTCTCGACGACCAACATATCCGTGAAAGTAATCCCGGCGTGTGTATGTATGTCGGAATAATTAGGATTAGACGGACGAGTAGGCTTCGCCTTCCCCTCGGATGGAGACACACGGGAAGGAAGGATTCAGTTATGGCGTGGACGAAAAGGTTCTCAATTTCCTACTAATTTCCGCCCCACGTCTTTGTCATCCCATCGCAGGGAAAGTCAGGAGGAGAAAGTCAGGTAGAAAGCGGAATCTCTTTAATTGCATTTTGGTTAGGAGGAGGAGAGGTGTCCTCCTACGTTCGTATAGTCGGATTGCCTCCTTCAGATAAATGAAATGGATTGTCGCTTCTTGTGGTTCGAGAGAAAGCTTCAGAGTACTCGAGTCAAATTCAAATTACATTAGTGAAACGGAGATAAGTTTAGAATTTGTAATTTTGCTGGAAACGCAAGGAGAAGTAACTTTTGGTAGGAAAAGGTTCGTACTTTCTCCAACTTTAAGTTTGTAATGAAATGAATGAAGAGTAGTGGAAATGAAATGATGAGGATGAATTGTCATTTAGCGGTGATAAGATTTCCAGGAAAGTTTGACCAGAATATAATAGGAGGCGAAGGCAAGGAGGAAAATGTATGTATGACGGATGGAAGTCGAGGCGAGACTATTGTTTGAAGGGGATTGTGGACAGATTAAATTTAAATATGCAGTTTGTTAAGGAGGAGAACGAGTGAAAGTTGGGGATGGGAAGAAAATGAGACAGGTTTCGAGAGGTGGATGGATGGATGGAAACATACGTAACTTGTGTTGCAGTCGGGTTTTAGATTGCATCAAATTGAATCACGCGCACAAACTTTGTAATACGTAATCCGACAATTCGTTGCATATTCGGGGGAGAAAGTTGTCACGTTAAATGTATTATTAGTCACGTGAAATGCATGTTTCCTGAAGAATATGATGGATCTCAGATAACAAATTTAAAGATTTCCTAAAATTTCAAACCTTCAATTTTCCCCTTTTCCCCATCTACTCGACAACATTGTGCTATATTAAAAATCGATTTTGAACCCTACATGAAAGTGAAAATGTAACCCGAGAAAGTAGGTTAACTGAAGGCTGGATTGAATTAATTTGGAATAAATTAATGGATTGATCCATTTATTTACTCTTCTTGGTCGCGGATTTGGTCGCATCACAGATCGTATTTAAATAGTGTTTACTTGAGCATGCAGTCGATAAGATATGTCTTCAACGACAAATTAAGTTGTACTTTAGTCATCATTATAACCTAGCAGCTACTCCAAAGATATTCGAAGCCGGGATGAAATGAAAGGATGAAACGTTCCGCTTGGCAAGAATAAGGAGATGATTCTCTCGTTCTTGTTGTCACTGGAGACATTCAAAGTCTAAAGTCAAGTCAACCATGACGACGACGACGAACAAGAACAAGAACAGCATCACGAGGAGGATGAAGTTTGCTTGCGTGAAATGAAATGGTGAAAGCCAGGCGAGGCGAACAAAGTTTATCGAAATCTCAAGGGTACCACTTTCTCTGGCCTGACTTTCACCAAACACAAACTAAACGACACCACCACCACGAAGGCTCGATCAGTATAGATTGGTGGATATGTTAAGTAGCCCTATTTTGAAGGAGGATGGGAAGAAAGAGGTGGGTTTGAAACTTTTCCATGTGACAAAATTTATCGGATACGAAATTTTAATGGGTCGGCTTTCTCCAGTCCTTGAGGGTTTATACAAAGGAAAAAGTATTGACTCAAGAAAGGATGGATGGATGAATGGCGACGGTTTCTTTTGTATTCAAGGTAAAGTTATCCTCTTTTTCCTCTCCAAGTAATTTATCTCGTTGGAGGAAAAGTGCACTTTACGTAATAAAATTATATACTCGGATAAATTAAGTATAATAAAATATTGTGCAGAAGTTTGCATGTGGTGGGTGAGGTGAAAGTAGAAGTAGTTTTAGTTTCGTGAGGTTAAAGTAGTTTGCTGGTGCATTGTATGTTAACCCCAATTACAGGCTTGGTGAGACATTATTCAATGGAGAAAGTGATTTTTTCTTTGTTGTGGTGAAAGCGAATAGTTTGTTCATATAAAGTTTAATACCAATTACTTACATTTATTCAATACAAAAAAACTGATTGGTAAAAAATTATTACTATTTTTTTCTCTGAGAAAGAGAGAAAAAGTATCAAAAAAGGATTCATGTCAAGGATAATGCCGGAATAATAAGTGGCAATACGACGAGCAACTTTCTCCCACATAATGTTATGTTCACTCGGTTGATCGCATCACTGAAATCCCCACAACAAGGATAAAGTACAACTAAGGATAAGTCCACTAACTGGTTCGGTTTTCGTTTTCATGACCATCGTCGTTTTTTCTTCCTACTTGTGTGCCTTCCTTTCGTTTCGTGACTACTCCAAAGTCAAACGACTTAACGTGGTCTGTTCCAGTACGTAGTTGTGTCCTCCTAATTGGAAAAATTTTCCAAGGCTGGCCTCTTACCCGCCTGCTGCCTGCATGTCGTGAAAGCCAAGAAGAAGAAAAAGAAAGTAAGCAGGAAAAGAACGAAAAAGCAGTCAAGTGAAAGTGACCAACGCATAAAAGAAGAAGAAGGCCAAGTAATAAGACAACATGCATGCAGGACTGCAATATTGTTGGCGTAAGTGAGCAAAGAATAAATAAATACGGATTCGCGGAGCCAGGATATGAAAAAAACGGGAATGTTTGGGTGGATAGATTTTGCCAAAAAAAATCAACAAGTCGATCTATTCTGACAGATAAAGCTGAGCTGCGCGATTTATAGAATTGTCCCCATTTGGATGGATAAATTAATCAATTGCATGTCATTATCGAGTGACAAATGGGGGAACGTGAGATGTCGAGGAGATAAGTGATAATCTGATAATAGGAAAGTAATTCGGTGAAAGTAGGTACCTTTTCTGGGGAAGACGGTGTCCCACTTTTTGTTGGGAGGGTTTCTTCTCTAGCGGGATAAATTAGACGATTGCTGGTCATTATCTTTTCTGGATAAGTGGACGACCAAATAAGCCAAGTCGGACAGAGATGTAGCTTAGATTTCTATTTCCCCATTTGTAAATAGCCTGCTGTTGCTTGTGTCTCAGTCAAAATTTGTTGTGTTACTGGGTGGGAAGGGAAAGGCATGCTTAGGTTGACTTGACTTGACTAAAATATTTGTCTGGGTTTAGCTCAGCCTGTTGTGTGCTGAATTGGATTTGCAGGATATCTATAATGAGATCTGTGTTGGGTAGGAGGGTAACGTGTACATGGGAAAGTGTCCGAGTTTGTGGTTCGTTGGGTTGGGTTGTCTGAGGAAAAATGAAATTAGAGCACATTTTTGGACAGATTTGGTCTTGGATTAGATGAGATTTGGGTTAGTGAAAAAGGAGTTTCGTTTAGGATGCACTTTTATATTCGTTAATGTTTAGTACAAATTCTCCATATAGAAAATTTGTGATAGTTTGAGTAAAATTGAGCAAGAAACTTATCTACAGATCATATAAAATATTTGGACCCACAAATCAGTCAAAAAAAACAAACTGAAATTTTGAGTGGCGAATATAGGAAACTTTAGGTATGCACTTTTGTGAAAGATTGGTCAAGATTGCAAGCTTTCGAAATATCAACCGAGTAGATCAATTTTGCAAACTTACAAGGTTACAAAACTTATAAGGTTCATCAATTTCGCAGTATGCTAATTCGACTGATCAGGTTAACTTGGCGTAACGTCTATATAAGCATATGATTTGACCATAGTAATTTGCATTGCTTTTGTGGTGCACATTTATCTAAATCATGGTTACATATTTACGCCGTTGAGTAAAAATGCTTTTGGGCGTTTTGTTACGGCAAAATAATTTAGTTGTATTTTTGTTTGTTTTTAGTATTATTATCATAATTTTGTTAATAAAGACTCCCTTTGTAAAATAGTGACAGACCGTCTTTCTAATAGCCTGTAATTTTTTTAACACTGATTTCAATTTGGGCAATCTTTTAGCAGACAAATAAAGCTTGTAATGAACTATATACCAATTTTTCATATTTTGCTAAACAAAAATACCGAATTTGAAAAATTATGAATGCTTAATCATAGAACTAATTATGGATGTTTTACACAGCAGATATGTTAATTAAACTTTGAAACTATTAAAAAACAATACGACTAATAATAGATAATTCTTTGGAATAATGATTTAATTCATTAAAACTTCACCAATATCGGTTTTATGACGAGTTATGTATGTGCAAATCACATTTTTTCAACATTTCCCCGAAATCTGACATGAAAACTATGTAGCTTTGTATTTTCTCCGTCACTATTTTTACAAAAATAAAAAGTTGCCCTTTTATCCTTTAAATTTCACATTTTTAAATCTAATATGAAAGAAAGAAATAAATCTGTGACGGATTAAATCACGAATTTTATGAATTTGAAAAATACCGATATAAAAAAATTACTGATATCTAATATCGGAACAAGTATATAATACATTAGCCTTCCACCTATGCCATACACAGCATTAATGTAAATATGTATGTACATATTTACATAAATTATACAAATAAGTCCTTATTATCTGTGCCTTTGAGGATGAATCTAACATTAATAATTTTTCAAATTCGGCATTTTTGTTGATCAAAATATGAAATCTTTACAAAGGTTCACCAATTTATTATAAGCGTTACCAAATTATAGGAACTTACAAAATATATTTTCCCAGCACAAATGTAACACACCAGAGAAAACCTAATATTTGCATTTTGGACACAATTTTACGAGGCGAGAAAGTCTCCCTTTTACTTTCATGTTTTGCTGAACAAACACGCCGAAATAGAAAAATGCGGAGTGATTAATACCAAAGTAAAGTATAGATCCAAAATGGCGAGATTTTAAAGGCGATTTAATTTCTAATAATGTATTGTTAATATACAATTTAATACTTAATTTCTAATTTAAATTTAATTTAAAATATTTAAACAAAAACTAAATAACCATAAGTAAATCTATTTCACAATTATTTTCCAGGTCTCCACGGGTAAGGGAATAGCTTCGTATGCAGTTCACGTCTTTGTAGCCGTACCTGAAGCGTTTATTCTGGGCAATGGAGAGTATCACATTCAAGAGGGGAGCACCATCAATTTGGTCTGCATTGTGGAAAAGGTGCGTTAAATTACGTCTTATTAGATAACACAAAATGTATTTTAGAATATTTTTAAGAGAAAAATTTTTATTCAAAATTTTATTTTGCAAAAATCTAACAATTTAATTTGCAAACATGTTCTTCGTTTATTTTGCAGAGTCCGAAACCACCCGACTACATCTTCTGGTATCACAACGAGCGAATGATAAATTATGATAAGGATCGCAATTTACGAATCCAGACGGAAACAGGGAGTAAAACACATTCAAGACTGATAATTGATAATGCTCAAGTATCAGATTCGGGAAATTATACGTGTCACATTTCCAACGCGGATCCTGCCTCTACACTTGTGTACATTTCACAAGGTCAGGTCACAGGTCATGACAGATTTGATTTGATGCAGTGTCTTGTCCTTTAAAAAAATTAATTTGTATGTATGCGATTCATGCACCGAATTAAGGCGAGATTTTGATATCTTTGTTCTTGTTTTTTTTTGCACAGGCGACAAAATGGCTGCCATTCAGAGGAGAAAGTCTGCTGCATCGATGTCATCAAACTATTACACGATTTCTGACTACTTTCCACTCTTGCTGCACCAAATATTTTGTGTTCTGCTCATTCTCATCAATTATTAAGTGAAAGTTTAATAACTCTAATTAAAATTTTTATCAGATTTTAATAATAATACAGAATTTATCAAATCCTCGTTAAAATTAGGGCGAAAATTTATGCACATAATGAATAATATAATTCGTAGTTTCATTTCATCTCGTATTTAAAACCAATGTTGGAACCGAGGATTAGAAGAGGGAAACGGAACAAAATTAGGCAGGGAAAGTTTTAATTTTTCACTCTGAACAAATTATGCTAGAAGAAAAAAGGAAGGGATGAATTAAGAGTACAATACATTTTAGAAAATCTCTCAACTAATTAATTAACACTACCAGAATAAACTAGTCTAACTACTCACGAGTTTAGCGGTTAACGAACATAACCGTAAACTTTTTATTAGTCATTAAGTCTTCTTGATATATAAGTAAAAGTGAATTTCTTCCTACGAGATTTAGTAGGAGACATAAAATAAAATCTGCTTTTGGATAATTTTTTAAGTAAATATGATTTTTCTTGCTAAACTCTGAACGAAATTATTTAAACGATTTATTGAATAAGCCAACGTATTTTTTTCATGATTCATTTTCTGGGAGAGTGAAAATTTTCGAGGTGAAATTGTCTACATTCTGAAAATCATCACATCCGCCCACGAAATTGGACGCCGACGACGCCGACAAGAATGACGAAGCACGAGCAACCAACTAGCAAAATGGTACGTTATACACACTCACATTACATTATTCTCGAGTTTCTTCTAAGTACGCGATGAAATTAGTTTAATTACATGATCATCATCCGAGAGAGAGAGAGGGAGAGATTTTCATTTTGTGAGGTTGGAAATGATGCGAGAATAAAGTTTGCCTGCTTGGCCCCGTCGTCGTCGTCGTATTAATTTAAAATGAGGAATTCCTTTGAAAATTGGAGAGAGAAAGTTTAATTGAGACATTCCACCGGAGGCTGGAATTGTCGGAGCGTGGTTGGTTTAGAGAGATTGCTCGGCATGCAAAATTAGTCACTGAAGAAAGCAAAGCTGTTACATGTTCGTCGCATACTCGTCGGAATAATGATAAATTTTGGCCATATCTTACAATTTGTGGGTGTAATGGTTATGAAACAAATGTGTGGAAGCGATTTTACAAGGTCGATTAAGTAATTTGAAAAATGAAAGAAATGAATGAATTACGGTGGAGATCAAAGTAAGGGAAATGTTTCGAAGATATGCAAGTGGAGATTTTGTGTGATTTTGAATTATTTACGAAATTATATTGCAAATATTATTAGCAAATGGGCACGTTTGCTGAAAAGTTGTGCAGAAAATTTGAGTACTTTGAGAAAAATAGACAAAATTAGTAGACTTTTCCAGGCAGAAATTAGGAAGATTTTTTAGCACGTGTAACAATTATTTATTGACGTCATGAACATGACAATTTAGAATTTACATACAGAAGTAGGTTGAAGAAGTGTCATTGCGGACGGAAATAGTTGACAGTTGAGAACGATTCTACATCTTACTTGACGATTAGTTTTCATGTCGCGAATAATACGATTTGGTGACGCTGACGACATTTATGATTACGATGGATTGAGGACTTGCTGACGTACGTAATAGAGTTGGACTGATCACACGTCATCCTTAGTTTTGGGCTCCCTCAACATAAACTGAACGATATCCATGGCTCTCCGTCGGTACCGATATTCGCCGAGATCTCTCCCTTGCCAAAAGTACTTGAGCGTGGGGTATCCAATCACTTCAAATTTCTCGTAGATCTGGGGGCACAAGTTGGGGGTCCAAAATAAATTAATACTATTTCCGGTTGCATATTTTATTCTGCTCAACAACTTACCGATGGATACATGATGCAATCAATCGCGGCGAGTTGAGCGGACGGGAATTCTTGCGCCAGGACGTAGGCGGCCTTTGCAAATTCGGGTTTCGCGGAACGGCAGTGGACGCACCCTAGATAAAATTGGGAGAAAATGTTATGTGGTGAAATTGTGGCGAAAATATTGCACGTATAGACGACCAACATGGCGCGTAGAACATGAGTAAAAGGGGTCCACTGCTTCTTATGTGACCCTCGATACTCTTGTCCGTTAGGAAGACGACTTTGTCCTTCCCAATTAAATCACTCCAGTCGGAATAGGATCGCTGAGATGGGGTGAAACTTGTCGCCACGTTGAGTAACGGTTTAGTTTGGGGAGGAAGCAACAAATTGAGCCGCTTGGCAGTGGTTGTGGAGTTGTGCAGGTGACGACAACACTGTGACGTGACATCTGAATTTGTGGGGCAGGAGGAAATAATGGCAGGATTAAACTTGAGAAGGGACGAGGTTGAACCGATTTTGATTTTAGACAGATTCTGGAAACTTTTCAGGGCACAATTATTCGTGGTGGTGGTGACGCCAATCAATTTCGCCGTGGGGTTGACAGTACCGTTGGTGGTGGTCACATTGGTCAGAATTTGAGACATATTTTTCATCACTTTGCTAAACCAGGTCGACCCCATGACGTTCTTTCTCATTTTGGATTTCTGTAAAAATTACAAAAAAGCTACGAAATATTTGAGAAATTATTATTTGTTTTTGTGGATTTTCATGAAAATCGTGTTTATCGAACTCGGTTACCATCACCACCACAAGCCACTCCTTGTTCCTAGATTTTGTTTGCCACGATGGATCCGGAGCGTTATGAATCGCTTGTTGGTGGTCATCTTTCCAATCTTCATTATTTCCTCGCAGTATGCATGAAAATTCATGTCTACGGTCGGGATGCTTTATTATTTGTCCTTGAATTTTTTGTAATTTTCCATGCTGCACTGATTATTTCACGGTGAATGAGGTGGATGTGGTTGCAAAATACAAAAAAAATATACATAGAAGTACATATATATTACAAATTCATATCAATTTTTTAGTCACATTTTCTCCTGCAGCACCTGTAATAACACCTGTAATAAAATGGAAAACCACAGAACCCTCTAGAGCTCAAATTTCTAAATAAATCGCATGAAAATCCACCAGACATAAAATTACTAAATACACATTACAATTTATAATGGGCCTCCTCAGACACACGAAAAAATCGTCGCTTCGAAGTTTGCTTTGTTTTTCGCTTATCGATAACATGGCAAGAATTATGAAAATTGTAAAATTTTGTTTCGACTTCAGCTAACCGACCTTAACCCCACTTCTGAGTTGAGTTTCTGTTCGCTTATCCCAGAGCTCGCTTATCAGGAAGCAAGCGAAAAACTTAGCGAAATTAGAAACGACGATTTTTTCGTGTGTCTGAGGAGGCCCAATATGAAACCTGCTACAGAAAAAGTCTTAATTTTCATTTTTTCTTGTACAAGATTACAGTAGAAAAATAAGCCACAACCACGTGTCTAGCTAGAATAAAGACCTAGATTTCTTATTATCCCAGATTCTTGATTAATTTTCATTCCACTGTTATTTTACGACTAATACTCATAATCCTCTACTGCGTCTTAATTTGGTCTCATTTGAATTTCTAAAGGAGAAACAAAGTCTCTTGGCTTTTCCAGACTTGAACTTTTATTCCTACCCGACTTTTTCCTTAATAACAATTTTCTTCCCCTTTGTTCTTCGTCACGTTCCGGTTTTCCACCCTTTGTTTTGTCACGTTGTTCTTGTAAAAATGTGAAGAATTTGACCAAGAGTTTGTACAGAAATAGAAGTAAAATGAATGTGCAGTTCAGTGATATGTGCTAAGGATGAATGTACGTACGCAGTTTTATACGACGTATAATTCTACAACCAGATTAATTATAATTTTATTGAATTACAAGAACATTCAAGAAATGAAATGTTCATGGCAGGTTTTTATGCATGGCATAATTTTAAATGTTTTTCTCTCTCGCTTTTGTCTCATTCTATGGTTCCAGACCAGTGGCCGCGGAAGCCGTGGGGACATCTGGGGGCATGAACGTTGTGGGATAGGGGAGGGAGGGGTTTGTATAACATGGGCAGATGATGCGGAAATCGAATAATTGTCCCTCTGTCCCCACGCTTCCGCGGCCACTGGTCTCGACTAGAATATGAAAGCCGTGGTGGTGAAAGTAAGTAGTGGAACGCCATCCTTCTACGTCTCCTTTCTCGTAACAATAACAAGCCGAAGAAACTTTTATTTTATTCGAGACTTTCGTATTAAATTTGTAGTTTGAGTTTTTAATCTGTGGTTTCGTCTGGTCTGGTCTCGACGGAGGAGAAAGAGATGAATTTTATTTAATAAAGTTTGAAAGTATGGTTGGTGCAATTTGAATTAAATATTGGGTCGGATTCGCCAACTCGGTCTCGATCCATTTTATTGTTAGGAATATAGATTACGTATTCGAGGTCTGAGAATCCATTTTGAAAATGAAGGATGAAATGTGGTTGTTGCATAAATGTGGCGTGGTTGCTGGTCTTCTGAGAGCATAAAAAAGTTTTGGAATATTTTTATTCCGCAGTTGAAGAGCTAATCCGTACGTGTAGGCAACTTTGTGTCCTTGGCGTAATATTTGGGTCATAACTGCTAAAGAGATACTAAATAAGAGATGGTTTGTGTAAAATTGTTACGTGCACGGTTTTGACCGTGGGCCGTACAAAGGTCACACCGCACACGGAGAGGTACGAGCGATGAGTCTTCAGAAATTTACGAGCCCTTTGTTGTAACTTTTTAGAAACAAGGATATTACGTAATCATCGTGAGGTCTATTATATAATTTACGGCGCTCTGTTTTTGTGTGCAGAACACGAAATGACGTTACATAACTTTATACATAATTTTGTTCATTATTGGGAACAGAGGTTTCGAAAAAATTAAATTTTAGGCGTCAACATCCGCCAAAAACAAGGGGAAATGTATCGCAAGAGATTTTTCTTTTTTAAATTCTACAAATACTTGAAATAATTAAATGATTTTCAAACGGTTTTGAGGACTCGATTAAAAAAAAGTATACAGTTTTATTTCCATTCAACAAACCTTTCTACCGCAAAAGTTATCTTCATCAGGGTCACAAAATATTTGATTTTAACTATTTTTAACTACTTAATTTCACTTTTTTATGAAAAGAAATATCACCAAAACTACATCACCCTTTTATTTTTAACTCACCACCAAACTGCGTCATCACTTTCCGCTTAAACGAGTTCGGAAATTGGGAAACAAATATTTGAAATTAGTTCAATCATAAAAAAAAGTCCAAAGATGCGACGACACGATCAAGGATAATTAAAGATGAAAAACTTTTTTTTCTGCGTTGCAAGAAGATTTCCTTCCACACGTCACGAAAAGTTTTCTGTCACGATTCTGATTTCGAAAAGACCAAGAATATATAAAAAAGGAGTACAATTTCCCAGAGGAGGCAACCACAGGAAAACTTTTCTCATTAAAGATTCCCTATTTTCGCCCTGTGTCCGAGCCATGTTCGATTCAACAAGTAGTGGATGTGGAAGTATAAAAAGGAAGGAATCTAACACAGAAAAATGTACGGATGAAGAGAAAGTGGGGTAATGTTCGGGAGCGAGTTTGGCTGGTGTGACATTTTCCCATGGTGGTGAAAATCCAAGAATAGAGGAACTACTACACAGAAATGGAGAAAGTGGTGAAAGTATTTGAATTGCGAAAGCTCTAAAACTGGTACAAATTTAAAACTAGTGAGAATCACCATAAGCTTTGTTCCTTTCTGGTTCTGTTCTGACTACGGAATTCTCCAGGGTGCAGTTATTTCGGGGAGAAAGTAAACCTTATACGCATATCAGACAGTCTGCTGGGTGGGTCAGTGTGGTGCAACCGCAATAATACAATCATCCCGACCTGGGCAGGGTAGAGAGAGAGAGAAAGTGATGATCATCATGATGATGGGGATATTTGGCCGCAGGGATGGATAAAGTAGAGCATAGATAGACGAATAGAATAGAATACACCACAGTCCTGGGTATGATTTGTTAATCCAAATCCGATGGGAACTTTTACCACGGAATACGGGTGGGTACATATCTTCTCCCACCACCACTACCACCGCCAACAATGAGACATGACATATCTACTATGGGGAGATAGAAAATAGTAGAAAACAGGGAAAGAAGTATGAACTCAGGGCTGGCAGAGGCTGCAGAAGCCGTGAGGACATCTGGTGGGGACAATAACATTGTAGGATAGGGGAGGGATGGGTTTATATATAACATGGGCAGATAATGGGGATAACCGTGGGGACATTGTCCCTCTGTCCGCGGCCACTGAAGACTGTTGAGTATGAATCGCTCAATTCTACACGCACGTGTAAAATGAAACACACAATTTACCCAAAGTTCTTCCTTCCTGTACTCCTTTCTTTTGATATCTGACACGAATTTGAATTTTCTTCCTTTTCTCCACGCTTACAAAAATGATTACGCAATTCAGTCACATATTCCTGTATGGTGAAATGTTTTCATTTTGCGAGGAGTAGGTAAGTAAAAAATATCAAAGAAATTCGGACATGTTATTTATTTTCCTAAAATCAAAAATGGGACAGACGACGAAATTCGGTGAAAGGGGTCATGTTCCAAAAGAGAGAAAAAGTAGATTGACTTCTTGACTTGCCTTTCACTTTGTACTCTCACCACCACTGCTGCATAGCACTCAATCAAACAGATCCAGATCCATGAGAGGATGAGACTCCCTGAAAAGCGTATAGATACTTTCCTGTGTACCGTATTTTGTGAAAGTACGACCGACTGAGGAGTGAAATTCTCCGGTGGGAATGACTGTATATATTTTCGCTACTACTTTTGGATCAAATGAGTTCATCTCCTCGGTTGGATGGATGGGAGACGAGTTGTATTTTCTATTTTGGTTCGATTTCAATGGACGAGGGACTTTCATCAACAAAAACTTTCATCATTCAGGAAGAAGAGAAAGAAATGAATGAAAGGAAATGTACATGTATTTACTTCGGATGTTTTTCTTTTCAAGAGGTCAGTGAGTCAGTGAGGAGCTGATTATTTTATGAACTTTGTTCAACAAAAAAGTAGGGAGAGTTTGGATTTATCTTTAATTATGGATGTACCATTACGTATAAAAGCTAATCAGCACTTTGCTGGCACGAATATCTTGATGGACTAGAAACTCTAAAAAAATATTGATTTTCATAATCACTAATTTATTTAAAAATAAAGTGCTGACTAAACCCGGAAGAGAGAATTTTGTTGGTACGGACTTTCTCCGGTTTGTTGATGATGCCACTTTTTGCCCGGCTTTCTACTTATCCTGCCCTCACCCCATTTATAAACGAGAATGGATCAAAAGCTTTTCTTTATCCTTTACTCTTCTTCCTCTTATCAAGTATTCCACTCGACTCGACGCTAGGATTTAGTAGATTGAGATACAATAATAAATTCTAATAGGTAGGTGAAACAAGGAGAAAGTAAGTAAAAAAAGAAGAAAGACATCACTCTCGCTGACTTTGTGTCCTCCATTAATCACGAGAAACTAGTCGTCTCAAATGTGATTTGTCTTGCTTTTCGAGAAGAGAATGCAATTCTGTCCCTTGTCTCAATTAGGTTTAAAGTCTTCTGAATAGGGAGAAAGTAAGGAAGAAAAAATGAAATTCTCTCTTTGAAGTTGACTCTTTACAAAAATAAATGGAACTCGAATTACGCCGAGATAAAGAGGAAGCTTTACCAGAACGAAGATTTGGAGCCATTTAAGTAAATGTGACTTTAACGAAATTAACTCATTATTGAGCAGGCATTAGGACGGGCTATGAAAATTTGGCTTAATGCATTTCCATTAGGTGAAAGTAGGTGAAATTACGACGTGATGTGAGGTGAGACGAAGACCAACTAAAATAAAAGTAAGGAAGAAGGACGTCGCTCAATGAATCACTCACTTGATCAGAAGACTGAGGAGTTGCTTGGAGAAAGTGAGAGTGAAAGTTGGCTTAATTTAGTTCCACTTAGGATTCACTGGGATCGAACCGAACCTCGTTTCAAATTTATTTACCGGGTCGTTTTAAAAGGAGAAAGGTACACAGTCTCAGAAAAGAAGAAGGAGATAGGGTGGGAAGAACGTAAAGTGCTACATGCACCTTCATTAGGAAAATTGTGTAACTCGTGGAAAAACTGAGGGAGACGAATAATTTTGTCTGTTTGGTCGAAGAAGGAGGAAAAAGAGATGGATATGAAGCAGCGTTGGACTAAATTTGGAGAAAAGTTTGAACCATGGGAAAGTTTGGGTTGGGTTGAAATTCTTTATAATTTGAGAAGACAGGAGACGAATGATGGGTCGGTATGGATTATATGTTGGTATGGATAGATTTGGGTGAAAGTAGGTCGGCTGATTTGATCTGATGGAGATATTGGTTCGGGTTAGTGACGTTAATTGAGGATAATGGTTATAATTTGGGGAAATTATGATGCTTTCAACGTTTCACTGCTGGTGGAGTTGGAGGTAATGCTTGCTTGCGTTATGGGAGGGAGGATGGATACATGTGGGAATGAATGTAGGTGAAATTCTGGTAATGCAGTTTATTACGGGACATTAGGATTTTATTGGTAATCTGGTTGATGCGACACAGGTGGTGGTAGGATAGGATTACGGTGTTTTCGAAATATTTTGGGATCAGGTAAATAATTTTGATTATGTGGAAATTTTCTTTTATTGTAATTTTTGTAGGTTTTTTTTGCAACCTTTGTAAGTTTTTTGTGCATACGCCGTTTCCCACTCAATAACATATTATGCACACATACATATGTGGAATAGGCAGCAAGAAATGCAAAAAATTAATTAGTTGCATTTTCTAGATTTTCACGTCATAAAATTTTCATTTGCATACATCAGAATTAAGAATATCATTGCAGATAAGGTAATTGCCAGTAAACCAAGTAAAATGAACAATTATTGAAAAGTACTAAAAAAATTTGGGAGTGATGGTTGTGCGTGATTATGTAAAAGTAATCCTACACGATTTTTGTTATATACCGTATTTCTATGCTTAATACAAGACATTGATAAATATATCCACATGTTTTTTATGGCACAATACATACGTAATTACGACGCTTGTCAAAAAAATCCAAACTTCCTACTCCTTATTTCATTTTTAGAAATAAAACAGCTTAAGAATCCCGGAAAACTTGCCGGGTTATAAAAGAAATTCAAAATTCATGAAGCAGTTTAATGAATTTTCCCCACGTAATTTGAACATCTCGGTTTAGAAATCTGTTTACTTTCAGTTGAAGAAAGTTGTGAGTGAGAGGTCTCATTTGTGGAGGTTCTATATGCAGGAGAGGCGAACTGGGTGTGTCTCATCCTCTGGGATTCCCCAGCTTCGCGAGACGAAAGGAGAAAGTTGGAAATTAAAAATCAAATTTTAAAAATTATTAGATTTCCGACTTTCTCAACGGAACTTTCTTCCCACAAGAGACTTAAAAAATTGGAGGGTTATGTTCCTACGCAAATTCCGATTCACTTGGGCACACAAAAGTTTTAACTCAATTTTCTTCCCGGTATTTTTATTATTATGGGAACGATATACGCATTTACGTTTCTGGGATCATTGTGCGTACAAGAAAAAAAATAAGCAAACGAAATTTATTACGCACTTTCTCAGCTAAATTATTGACTTATGACATAACGCAATGGGTTCAAATTGGCAGTTTTTCCCTACTAAAATTTCTCTAATAAAATAAAACCCGGGTAAAAATAACCCCCCAATTTCTCACCAAGTTTGTCATAATACCGAAATGTCCATGGGGCAAATCCATTACTTTTATGATGGCAAAGAAATATGTGTGTAGCAGGATAAATACAAGATTGGATTATATGTACAAAATTTCCCATGAAAATTGGCATTGACACTCTCCATTATTATTACGCCACACTAAACCACACTCCCATTAGGAAGATGATGATGGGATTATATTGAGATGAGACGAGCACATGCTACACATTAAGGAAATGGACGCTGTCATTTTATCCATATTTTCTCCTATGGATTATTATTTCCTTGTCCATCCATCCAGCTCCTTTCTGCACAATGAACTTTCTCCGGGTGAAAGTAATAAATTCCCTTTTTGCGAATTTTCCCCAGAAAAAAATGTAAATGGGGAATGCTCAAAATTCAGAGTGAAATTGGGAGAGAAATAATTTACCAAAATTCAATTTGCTCTCCCATACGCATCATTTTGAAAGGTAATTTATACCAAGTTGGATCAAAAGAGTAGGGGAATAGTGAGCAAGCAACAGGGCAGTTCAGTGAGTACTTGGAGTCAACGACTATTGTGAGGATGACCAGAGTCCAGTTTAGTACAACAGCAGCAATCCACTTAAGTGTACTGCATTAGATTAAATAAATAGTAACTTTCACTCTGGGGGAAAGTAAAGTAGGAGGAAAGTCAATGCCGGACTTTCTCTCTCTCTCTGTGTGATGGGCAAAATGTAAACCAATTTCATCAAATTTTATAGTACATCATTTCCCTGAAAGTTAGTCGTCGTGAGACAAATTGTTTCCGAAATTGGGAGAGGGAACATCATTTTGGGAAAAAAAGTATGTGATAAAAATTGTTTAATCTAAAATATATTTGTCAATTTCAGACTGGACGACTTTCACCAAAACCTTCTCTTCTGATCAGAGCAAAACGGGGTGAATTTTGTGTAATCGTTTGTTATTTTTACTTTAATCAAACATGATTTATTTTAGGGGGTCATGTTTATTTATTTTTTAAGGCGTGAACCAATTCCTGTAAAAATTATTGATTTTGTCGTTAGTATTCATTCAAGTCTGAAAGTTATTTATCGCGACACAGTTTACTTGAAGAGTTTCCGGATGATTCTTCACGTACTACTTTCAACTTCCTCTCCGGCTGAATGAATGAAACGAAATGATTCTGAACTTGTCCAACTTTCACTCAATTCGACAGATCCCATTCAAAGTGTTTCACCCAATACGGACGACTTGATTTAAAATTTGGGCCATTTCCAAAGGATTTATGTCGAATGGGAGGAGACGGGAAATGGTTTATGTATGACTATTTTATTGCCAGGCTAATGGTTATGATCCACTTTCACTTCACTACCTACAACTGACTCGAGGTGTAATTCGCAAGGCTATAAATATACGCAACGATTGAGTCAGATCGGATTGGCTGAACTGGAAGGAAGAAAGGTGACTCGGTTTTTGAGAGAGGGTTTCGTTTCACGGTGATGAAATGTGTTCCGGCAGATAAATTATGTTTGTAATTAACACCGCATTTTGCATGTAATAAACAAAGATTTTTAGATTTTATTTAGTTTGAATATTATTGAAGTACATTTTTTGCTTGGTTGGTTATATATTCATTTTATTTGTAATTGAAATTGTGTTTAGTTTTTTTTAAATCAATTTTGGTATTATGGATATGCATTTTGTGTTCTTATAAGATTCCCCTTTTGCAAAATTTGTTTTTAGGGATAGAGAGAAACATATTTCTGGAAACATTTGGGAAACTGTATGAATTCGAAATTTCTATATTTTATAACTCGTTAAATTCAATATTTTGTTATACTAAAATGACGAAAAACAAAAATTACATATTTTGAATTTTAAAATATGGACTAAAATGACGAAATACAAAAATTGCAAATTTTGAATTTTAAAATGTAGAATGTGTAGATCATTTACAATTTCTTTAGTATAAAGCTCAATTAAATAAAATCGGTGTACGAACTGTACACAAACCTTTCACAACTAAAAACATCGATCTTTCCCAATTTAAAACTATATTTATTCTCAAATTTCCCAAAGTGATCCCCATTCTGCAGTCCTGCCCTGTTAATTATTTATTTCCATAAGCACCACCCCCATAGTAAAATGTGCAATGTACATAAATCTGGCTTAAATTTATTCCTTGAAATACATGTGCACATAACATATTTTATTTTTGCCACATATTTCATAACTCGAAACCCTTCCTCCTCTAAAAACATGGGAATTTAGCCGAGTAAAACATTTTGTTCGTGTCGGGTTATTTTGTGTTTGTCGCATTACATCATGGATCTTCAGATTCAGATATTTGCAAGAACACAAAAGTATAATGGATCTCTTGTGTATTGTATTGTATTTGAGGTTTTGTTCCATTCTGGGCACGAGGAGAGGGGCAGAGGGGATTTTGTTGGGATGTGTGTGTCTGCGGTTTTGAGGAACAAAGTGAAAGTACCATTGGCCTCGAGGAAGTGGATGTGTTTCTGTCTGTGAGAGATCTCATATGTACGAATACAAATGTATGTATCTTGTACTTTATAATTTTGATATAAAATATTGAATGTCATGATTTACATGTATCACTACACGACACTTATCTGTACCATTTATTCTGGTAGAATTCCCTGATGAGAAATTTCATATATTTCTTCTCGGGAAGAGAAACTGAGCTCGGGTAATATGTTCGCTAGCTTGATAAATAATTTACATACGTACAGGAAAATACTATATTTCTTAGTTTAACCCAGTTTTTAAGTCGTTCTATGTCCTACTTTATTGTAAAGATAAATAACAATAGGAAGAAATATCTATGTGTAATAAAAACTTGTACATAAAAATATGTAAAAAGTATAGAAAATTTTGTGCGTAGTTTTAAAATTATTTCTAAGTAATTTACTTATTGAATAATGGATTATTCTGTGTACATGAACTTGTAAACTTGTAAAATAAGTAAGATAAATACGTACATATTTGACTTTCTCTCTCTCTCTACTCTTTAGTCATGTGTGATTTTGTCTCGGATTTTCTCCATAAGCTGCGATAAAAATCAAATCTTTCCCGAATATATTATAATATATTATGTAATAAAATATTATTCAAGAATGTATAAATCATGATTTTTGCGCATTTTCTGCACATGAATGATTTGAATACATATTTTGCGTGGTGGTGTGTAATTTCCAGGAAATTTCGTTACAATGAATAATAAGAGAGGAGTAGGAGGAGGAGAAAGAAAGGACGGAAGAAATATTGTGACAGATTTTTTTTCAGAAATATGGAGTATGAATGAAGCGATCCCTGGGTGAGGAGTGTGTCGCATATAAAGAAGCAGTCAGTACATCAGTATTTATTTTTACTGGCAGCTTTTGAAGGCAAAACAAAGCGAGGAATAAATCATGATGAATTTATTTAGTGGTGCTGCGGAATGTCACGAGTGGTTTGGTGGGAAGATTAGTGGTGATTTTTTTTGTCATGTGTATAAAATTCTGAAATTAGAATTTTTTGAAAGACAATAGTCTACTTTATATTTTGAGCAAAATGAAATGTGGTTTCTTACAAGGAGAGGAATATTTTAAGACTTTTTTTGTACCCCATATAGTTTATGTTTTTTGTATGCAAATTGTGCTGATTGCATCACGCATTTTTTTGCGGAGGTTAAGTCAACTATGATAATTTTATTAATGCGTTCATATGTCGAGGGAGTGTTTATTTCTTTGCCTAATCTGCCATCTGGTCGGTTACTTGGTCGCCGAGAGCGAATTATTAAGCAGTAGTTGACAGGTACTCGTCCAACGTTTGGAGTGAAAGCAAAGTAAGTCAAAGTGAACTGCCATTTGGACGAGGCTGTCGTAATTCTTGATTCGTTTTTATCTCCTCAAGTCAACCGACGGGCTTATTCACTCGTCTCTGTACGTACGTAAAGCAGGCTTCGTACATACGTATTTAATCTAATTCGGTGAGGAGAAGGTGACACAGTGACGGCTTAATGTGCACGGCAAAAAGGTTACATTTACTCAGGCAGGCAGAGATTTTGGTTAGTTTTGTGCCCTGGTTTAGGAATTATTTTGCCATTTTGGTCGGACAAAGTGTCCAATAATCCGGTAAAGTAAAGTAGGAATATGCACTGTACTACTTAGTTTGGGAGAAAGTTAAATTGGGTCGGATTTACTGGTTGGACTGGACTGGACTTTCTCTATTTGTTTGTATATTCTCTCCTCTTGCCCAACTCTGCACATTGCCCAATTCGTGTATAAAAGGCAACAGTTATACTGTTTTCTTTTACTGTGGTGAAAGTCGAGTCCAGTCCAGTCAGTCCAACCCCTCGGCTTGATTTATGCCCAGTATTTGCTGTGAATTCGAAAAAAGTTTGGCTTCGTGGTTTGTTTGGTTTATTTTTTTTAGTCCACTTTCACTTTCACTTTGGCTGTGAATTCTGGATTTTGGAATTAGGCTGAAAGCTAGGAAAAAGGGGAAAAGTTTGCTTTATCTGGGTAGCTATTTGTTGAATGCACTTTGTTTCTTTTAGGATTTGTTTGTATGTAGTTTGTACATATACGTAGTAAATTGTGCATATAGCGAATTTTTGGCAAAAGTCGGAAGTAAATGTGCATATTTTTTGCAGACGAATGTCGCAAAATCTAGCTGCGAAAAATTCCAGCTAAAAAGTGATGATTATGGAATTTCTGGTGGAATTTTAGTATTATATAAATAATAATTTTTTGCGTTTTTCGTCTCTGCGTTATATAACTTTTACTAGTCCATTTCGTAAGATTGGATGGGTTTGGTGGGGAAAAGGTAAACAAGTTGTCGGCATGTAGGATGGCGAGAGTAAGAAAAAAAAGTGAAAGTGACCATGAAACTTTATACCCAATTCGCCACCCAACTAACCCACTTCTTGTTTTACATTATTATATTGCTTCAAGTTTCATAAGAATTCGTACATGCAGTTCTTTACGAAAGGAGAAGATGCGTTTTTGTAAACTGAATAAATTGGTAGGTTCTTTATTTTTGTAGGAAGAATAACCATGATGATAATGAGGGTATTCGTTATTTCTTCGTATCCGTAGTATCGTAAAATAGTTTACGAAGATAAAACAAGGGGTCAGCTTTCGTAAAAATCGTAAGCGTAGTAACACCATTTTCGATGAGAAAATCTTACGACGCTTACAAAATCTCGTAAGCGTCGTAAGTTATTTACGATACGAAGAATACTAAGGATACGAAGAAATAATGAATACCCTCAATAATACTTATTTGGTTTGGTGTGGATTGAGAAATTATGCGTATACAAACCGTTACTTCTTTTCGTGAAATTTTATATAAATTTATCATGCTGCATATTTCCCTATCTTATTATTTAGTTTATTTATATTTCTTATACAAAAAATGGGTTTGACTTTAGGTTCCCGACTAGTGCTTGGCTTGGATGCTAGTGGGTTTTCGAATCCGATGGGTGAATGGCAAAATTGTTGGGATAAAATACATGTATTTATACGACTTACAATGCGATGATGTGAAGTGTAACCCTCCGATTTGGTTGAAATTTTGAAATTATGTGGTCCATGTCAATACAACCAACGTTTCTTGAAGCAGTTTGTGCGATGGTCAGAATTTGGCAAAATATTTTAGGTTAAAGTTGAAAAATTTGTGATTTTTAGCACGGGAAGAGAATGGAAGTTGAGTTTGCTTCATTCGCATGGTAAAAATCGCCCGTTCTTCAACTTTGACCTAAAATATTTTGGCAAATTCTGACCATCGCACAAACTGCCTCAAGAAACGTTGGTTGTATTGACATGGATTACATACTTTCGAAATTTCAACCAAATCGGACGGTTACACTTTGCACCATCGCATTGTTAGCTTAAAATTTGCCTATTTTTTAAAATTATGTGTAGACATCGTAGGATGAGGAAAATTGGAGCGCTTATAAAACTCGATGATACGGATATCGGGCGATACCGTTCAAAAAAACGTTAGCTAATAACCGATCATTACGCAACCGTCGAACTAGTCTTAAAAAGTAGCCTACTAGCTTGCGTAGGTGTCGCGAAGGGTCTATAATTCCACACAATCTGGGTTATGTGCCAATGAAAAATAAAAAACCTACAGTGCAGACTCCATATAGCCCGAGTCAAGGACATAGTCCCTGACTCAATAAGTCAGAGCCCGCTTCTAAATTCTTTTCCGAACTGACCGACATAATATCACCAACTTCCGTGTTGTGGATGGTTAAAAGTTTGTTAGATAGTTTCTATTATTTGGTACCAAATTTTTGAATTAGTTACAAATCATGTGCCTTGACCACCATGACCAGTGGCTTCTTTAACAACCTGAAGTTCTAAGCTGTATGTATGTGCTATTCAGCCTCCACATCAAATTTCAGCTCGATATAACGATTTTTAAAAATCAGTATGGGTCACCCCATACTGATTGCACTCTGGTCACTTTGGTCTGGTTGCACTTTGTTCACTTTTAACTTCATATTCTTTAATTAGCAGTCATTAAGTATCATTGTGCCGGATTTCATCTTTTTAAAGCAATTTCTAAAAATCAGTATGGGTCACCCCATAGGGTCACTCATGATGAAAATTTTTCCAACCTGAAGTTATTTTTTTCTATTAGGAGCCATTAGCAACCTCTGTACCAAATTTCAGCTCTCTACAACAATTTTGAAATTTTGGTGCATAAGACCCCACCCACTCCGATGACCCCCACCGGTCAACCACTGGACCGATTTCGCCCATCTTCGAACTCGTTTCCTAACTTTGTCCAATATGCATATGGTAAAAATTTCAAGTCAATCGGTTCAGCCGTTTTGGCTCTATCGTGCCGGACAGACAAACAGACAGACAGACAGACGGACGGACATGACGGTTCCATAAGCCCTGACTCGGGCTAAAAATTAAATTATTTCCACTGAATTTTTGGTTCTGTTTAATAAGTCGTATTTCTGATCAAAACCCAGACCCAATGCTTGTCAGTTGTATTTTCGTCAAATAAATTCAATACTGACTAAACCTGAAGAAATCAGGTGCGAAAGCCTACTAGGAGTAATTATCTTGTATTCTGGACCCATGTACTGTTTCATTTGCTGGGACTCTGAAATCGAGGATAGAGTTTTACAAGGGAGCTGGCCAAGGTGTACAGCTGCTCCTCCCATAATGGAGCACGATTACACTACCCGAACAGCCGAATTATTTTATTATTTCACATCACTTATTTTTACTTTGGCGTTCAAATTATTCAATTTCGTATGATTTCTACTTCTATTATTTTGATTTTGGCGTACAAGTCTTACGAAATTGAAGAATTTGAACGCCAAAATAAAAATGAGTGATGTGAAATAATAAAATAATTCGGCTGTTCGGGTAATGTAATTGTGCTCCATTATGGGAGGAGCAGCTGTACACCATGGCCAGTTCCCTTGTAAAACTCTATCCTCGATTTCAGAGTCCCAGCAAATGAAACAGTACAACTCGCTGCAGTTGTTTTTTTTAAATTACTATCCTCCAACAACTTGAAATCTGTTATTAATTGAACAATTCTCACATTTATAGAAAAAATAGTTTTGACTTCAAACTCTTGCATTTTATTTTTCCAAAAAATATTTCCTAAATAAATATTTACAATTCTCACGTGGCGCTTATGTATACAGATAAGTATTGTCTTTCCGTTGATTTTACATGAATGAAATTGTGGAACGGAGTCGATAACCCAGTTTGATTTGAGACCATGGACAATTAACTATTAATTAGTGAACTACTACAAGTTTAGTTTATTAATAGTGACTTGTAAAATTTGAATAGTTGATAACTAGGCCCAGTTTATAATGATTCTGCTGAGTCCCAAACGCTTCGTGTTCTTCTTCCTTCATCCCTGGTTTGCTTGATTATGCGAGAAATTTAATGGAATTTGGTCCACTCGATTAGGCAGCTGATCCTTTATTCGAGCGAGCAAAGGGGTAGGACAGAGTTTGATAAAACAACAAAATAACAGAGCGATGATAAGAGCCGACGAAGAGGAGGAAATGGTTTGACCAATTCGCAAGGGTGCTTTTACATAAACCAAATCTGTGTCGAGGTTATTATGCAACGACTTCTCCGCCTTTTCATCTGCGTCACTTTAAGCATTCCGCAGTTTGGGATAAACCAGTGCAAGAAATATTTGGCAAGTAGCCATTCGCAATTTATTTGTTGAGCAATTTGAGAAGATTGTCAGTGGACGAGAATTATTTACAAAATAGGAAAATAGTAATGGATGAGTATGTTGGGCACGGTTTATGTAAAGTGTTTTGAGCCTGCATCACTAATTCTTAAGTCCAGAATTTAACCTTCGTCATGTCATGGATGAAGAGATTCCCTTACTTAAGTAGCTGGAATCTATATTCTGTGTCGTCATGTTAGCTGCTTATCCTTGGTTGATTTTTTATACATTTGTGAAAAAATATTTAAACACAAACAATGTTTCATAAACATTGGTTTTGATTTACACATCTAGTAAATGTGGTTTATTAACACAAACGCATTGATAAAATATAAAATACACTTATTTTTCTGTGGGAGCTGAGGAAAAACCCGATTTTGATGGGTTGGGAGAACCTCTAATTCGGATAGGCATCCAAAATCATCATTCAGTCCCGTCCAATACTTTTGTAAATTGACCTATCACATTAAAATATAATATAATTTCACCAAGCCCCTTCTCTGACTGGGACAACTCCCAAAATTGATGCCGCATTCTCACGATGAACTGCCAAGCTAATCCTTTGAATCAGAAATGCTGTCGACATTGGTCCAGTGACATCCTGCATCCTCCTCTCAACATCTTCGCCACCTTCAACCTTTCCGTCCCCCTTTTTCGACATCTATGCAGGCAAATATTGGCTGATTTTATAATTGGTATGGTGATTTATACGTTGTAATCATGACCAAATGGACGACGCTTTTCCGCTTTCGTCAAACCCAAAGCATAACATTTTGATAACCTTCACACAAAATATTTTATGCGAACTGACGCGTTTTTATATTCAAAATGACCCTTCTATTTCGCTACTTGGCCATCTCTTTGACCTTCATTATCCTCCTTCGCCACACTGCCCACGCCCTGAACAAGGATTACTGCCGATGCAAATTCCTAGTTCGCCGATCCGCCGTTTCCTACGGAAAATGTGGCGCCGGTGCCCTCTGCTACTGGAACCTCTTCTACTATGCGGACAAATTCAAATCCAATGATGTCAAACTTGCCTCCAGAGTTGCCCAGTATGAGGCAGAATTTAAGGCGTGTGCGGCACGTATCCCGATCGACCCCACGGCAGAGGTTGGCGTCAAATTTGTCTAAAATCGTCACAAAATAATACAAAATGTTACATTTCCCTGCCAGCCTGATCCAGTCTGCACAGAGAAAGAAATTTCGTGTCAAGCCGAAACAGAGACCATATTTAAAGACCAGTGTACAAAGTTGTACAGCAATAAGACTGGAAATCCGGAAGTCCTTCCAATTCCCCCAAAGGTAAATCAGGACGCGTTGGACAGGTTTCGGGGAAAAATTAACCGAACTTATGTCCCACCGCCGAAGTTTGATGGGAAATCGACCTACTTTTTCCCCCGCACGTGTCCCTCGCACCATCGGAGATACCAGTTCACCTACTACCTCCTGTTCGACGCGGCGACTAAAAAGTACAAGGTGGCCGCCCCCTGGAACGAGGAGATGGGCTTCGTTCAGGTCGCGATGTACATGTCGTGGGAAAGTTTGAGAGAATCGGCCGAAAATTTGGAAAGTTCCATGAAAAAATTCGGTTATGACGAGTCGAACATAAATCCGAGGAGATTCTGCAAACATTCGGACGTCTTTGTGTGCGTGGATGAGCACAAAGGACCGAACTGCATACAGGAGTATTACTTCACAGACAAGAATGGAACGCTGGTGTATGGATGTAATCAAAATTAGAGTTAACTAATTAGGTATTCGCTAATTAGTAATAAATCGTTTTGCAAGGTGGGTGAATTTCGTATTTAGTAGAAATGTAATGTGTAATGATTCATCAGCGGAAAATAGAAATATCGAGTAAATTATTAATAATTACCTTATCAATTGATAAGTTGGAACCAGTCTCCACAATATTTAAGCATTAGTTTTACTACATTATAAATACATGTTGAATGTGGACGGAACTGATTTTGTATCACAATTTGGATTCAGTCTGACCTCATCCTGCCAAGAATTGTCGTCTTTGTTGAGTGGAAAATGAGTCAAATTGAAGATAACGTGTAACCCAGGGTTGAATCCATATTCTGAAATAAAATTGACCTTATCATCAAATATTTTCGAAATACGAGACGATTTTGGATGTGATTTTATCATCAAGGAATTGATCCCACTCTAAAACGGGAACATATGTTAAATCTTTCTCTGAGGTTGATTTTATACAAAATGTAGCTGTTGAAAAATTATGAAACGTTTTATGGACCAAATTTCGATAAATATTTATGTAATAGTTTTTTGTTGTGATTGGGAGTGGGGCACATAAATCTAATAATTATATTAAGAGTCATATTGAAAAAGGTAAAATACTTTGTTCCGGCTAAAAAGCTTGACAAAACTATGAAAATTCTAAAAGTTTTTTGTTTTATATACAAGACTTTGAAAAATGTCATATCTTTTGAGCTTTTTTGTTAAGACTTTATTACAGAGAAGTGAAGTCATCTGATGAGTGTCTTAATTTTATATTGAAAAGTGTAAAATTCTTTTTGGCGAAAATGTGAGCCCTTTGCACTTGAAAAGTTTGAATCCCTTCAAGAATTGTGGTCGTCGTTGTGGATGGTGCATCATCACCGTTAGATTCGTCTTCAACCACCCAATGTGAAATATATTAACAACAGTGGTCACATCTGGATAAGTGAATGTTTGATAAGATAACAATAAAAGTGAGAAGCAATGGGATCAACTTTACTTCTTTCAGCGAGAACGACACTTTCAATTTCATGATCGTTATGAAAAATTAGTTAGTTGGTGAACATTTCATGGAATGTTCCTTCCTGATAAAAATTTGGTAGCTCGTCTCCTTCCATGAAGTAATTTTTGGATACATTTTCAAAATTGTGGTTCGCATGCATTTTATTTATTTTGATGCTTCTGCCAGGCAAATTTCTGTAAATTGATTTACATATGCTTAACGAGTACACAACTTATTACTATAAAGTTTATTGACCACGTAACGAACTTGTACCATGACACGGATAACGGATACAAAAAATATTGAATATTTTGCATACGACCTTGTTCCTGTTTCGTTAAGTGATTTCAGTTAGACATTGGGAACTTTGGGGAAATATAGCTGTAAATATTAGCAAAACCTCACCAGGCGGAAACAAACAAGGAAATTATTTACTGTGGTGGTGGTGGCAGTGGCGTTTTCACAAGTCACAACCCTCGCTAAATTAATAAACTTTATGAATTTTTTTGTCATGTACATTAGCATCATTCCAGTTTAGTCCTGTAATTCAGACCTTGTGCAATATAAGACTTATTGAGACACGCAATTAAAATGCTACTAATTACGGTAGCAGTTTTATCGTGGATAAGTCTTCATGTAGTCATTGGAGCAGATTCAGATAACTCAATAAACTTACCGTCAGATAACTCAACGTCATCCTCCTCGCACGAAAATAATCTCTCTTTGGTCAACATCGGAAAATGTCCAGGGTCAAAAATTACTCAAAACGAGCTTAGAATTCCATCATGGTTGAAATTAAAGGGACACAATGCCACTCTCGTTTTCAGGTTTAGCATGCATTTATAAGTATTTAACGACATGTGTTATCTCACGTATCATTTTGTAGGTTGGCCAACTTAGAACCCGGTCTAGAGAAAACTTGTCCAGGGGGAAAAGTCGCCTCAGTCACGGTGACGAAGAGGATAAAAAATGGGAACATGGTCCAATTCCTGGATGGTGGCATGGTCTCAATCAACCACGCCCACTATGATACGGACCAGTACTGCTTCTCGAGGTGAGCACATTCAAAATCCAGCTCAAGATTCAAAAGTTCAAGGTACAAAGTAATTTACGTACCTTAGATTTGACACCAAATCGGTCACCCTGTCCCATTGCGACTTGTCCTGCTCCCCGTCCGGTCCAGTCCTCTGCATCCCGAAATGTTGTCCATTGACCGAAATTATGAAATTGGATGAAGACGGACTAACTCAATCCTGTGTACCGTCCGGACCAGTGAAATGGACGCCACGAGTTTATTCCTCTCGTGACGATCCTTCCGGAGTGGAGGCTAAACCACTACTTCCAAAAGATCGAAAACCACTCCACTACAAATTTACTGAGGTGGCCGGAACCCTGATACCCATCACTTATCGAGCCGTTAATTTTAGCGAAGGAGGAGAAGAGGTGGAACCGTTTCATGCCTCACCGTGCGTGATAAAAAATATGAGACTGAATGCATATCTGGAAATTTTTACTCAATTAAAAATGTGCAATGATCAGATTCCGCCTGCTCGACAATGGTTCCATGATCATCCTCGTTCTCGAACCAGAAAATGGCGACGGGAGCGAATGTGGCGAGGTTATTCACAGATATCCAATTCACAACAAGTTTTGTGTGGACGGATTTATCGTCGGGGATGACGCAGTTTACGATGGGAGTGAAATCGATCAGATCGCGTTCCTCCCGTGGGTCACAGAAGAGGACGAAAATGTAACTTCTAAATAGGTTTATAATTTTAAGAGGGAAATTAATCTACAAAAAATTGAAATTTTTTAATAGACGACCAACACGATAATCAAAGCGTCCTTCGTACTGCTGGGGATCATCTTTCTGGTTCTGACCATTCTCATGCATCTCGTGATTTGGCCTAAACACAACATTCACGGATGGACCGTCTTCTCATTTGTGGTTTCGATGCTTGTATTTTTCATAACGTTGGCCACTGTGCACATTACGCATTTGACGTCCACGAGGGTAGTTCTGGGGACCGGATCTTGTCTTTTAGTCGGTAATTGACGAACTATTTCAAAGATGTATGTAAATGTAGACTGTTTAATTTAATTCTATGTATTTTTCAGCAATTTTGGGACATTTTACTTTCCTCTGTGCCCTTTGTTGGATGAGCATTATGAATTTCGACTTTTGGACGACGTTCAGGCAATATATTTCTTCAAGAAAACATTATTAAACTTTAACCGATTAAAATGTAATGAAAATTAAATACTTCAAAATTCCAGAATTTTGTCCCCATCTCAAGAACATAGCAAAAGTGTACAACGTTATGCTCGCTACCTCGTTTTTGCGGTGGGTGTGCCCAGTATCATCGTGGGAATTTCTGTCGTTCTACACTTTACTCTCGGGTATTACAATGATCTAATTGCAATAATTGGAAAGATAAAAAAATGTTACCAATAATTTCCAGAGAAGAATATCACGAGAATCACAATGGATTCCTGCCCGGCTATGGGACAACGAAATGTCAACTGCACCCTTGTTCTCAAAAATACTATTTGTACATCCCGATGGCATTTCTGCTCGGCTTTAACCTCATTATGTTCTCTTGGACGGTCTTCACCTTGTGGACGTATAAGAAAAAGACGCAGGCGACGAGCGGACAGAAACAGTCGTGAGTTTTACTAGCTAAATTAATTATTAGTCTCGACAGGTTTCAAATTTCTGTGATATGTATTCAGTTGGATCCTGTTCTGCAAATTGTTCCTGTGCATGGGAATTTCGTGGATTTTTGAAGTTTTGAGTGGTTTTCTAAACTGGGACTTTGTCTTGCTCGATATCATCAATTTGCTCCAAGCAGTCGCCATCTTCTTCATTTTTACGGCAAAGAGAGAGAATTTGTTATGGATTTATAAACGGTATCGCTGCTCGAAAAGTATGCTTATTTTAATATTTAAATAATGCATCATGATAGAATTATATAAATATTTGCATATTTTGTGGTAGGATTTATAGCACCCATTTTGCGCACGAGATGTTGTTACGTGGCAGAATTGGATGTAGAGCAGACGGAAATGACTTCCGCGGAAAAGAACAGGACACTCGTGACGTTTAAGGCGAGGGGGTCAGGATCCTCGGAGAATTATTAAGTTGTGTTGATCAATTTGGAACTTGGATGCGAATGATTACAAATTTAACACCAATTGCAATTTTATAAGACCAAAATTATAACAGTTTATTTCTGCAATAAAAACTACAAATTGGAAAAGTTTGATTAGTGGGTGGTTGTATCGGAGGACGGTGTGGTCGAGGCCAATCTCTTCCTCTCCTTCTCTGACGGACAAAGCTGCAAAAATAAATATCATGCAATGAAAGTATGTAATTTACCGGAACGAGGATTTGTGAGCCGATTTTCTCACCGATTTTGCAAAGTCGTAGAAGCATTCCGAAAATGGAAGCCAGGATTCGCAGCCGTTGGGCTCTTTTTTGAGCTTATCATTGTTGTCGGTGCAGCACTGTTCGAATTTGGCCGTGATGTTGGTCTTGAACTTTTCAGGAAAGATTTCGACGACGCCGAGGGCCTTGTCGTGCTTCAACTTTCCTTTCTTATCAACCGCCTTCTGCTGCTTCATCAAACACTTCATCAAACACTACAAAGTGGAATTTCTATTAGTCAGCCGTCTCCTTATGTGACCAAATTTAACAAACGTATTTAAATTACAGCCGCAATCATCTTTTCGGGTTGGCCTTGTTTCGGCTGACATTTGCTCACGATCAGGTTGAGCAGGTCAGAGTCTGGTTTGAGGCCATCGTTCTCCGAGCAGTCCAACTTCCCAAGCTTCACACCATTCGTCCTCGTAATGGAAATGGACTGTTGTAGAAATAGTGATAATTTGTAAATATGTAAATATTTCCTGATTTCTACCACGTATGTAATTAATTCGAAAAAATACCAGAATGACCAGCAAAATTTGCAAGAGAGAAAATTTGGTAGACGCAAACATCCTGTCGAATCTGACCAGCAAGAATTGACGACTGATAGTGTAAATTCTGGTAATTTTCCAAGAGCGTGATCTGATTAATATCAGTTTTATCTATTGTAACCTCGTCAATTTTATTTGTGATTTTACATTTTCCTTAATGTTTGTTATTCTTCATAAATTTCGCTAAATGAAATTCTACGGATGAGGCAGGCTTCCATTTTGTGTTTCGGATCACGGCATTTCATCGTCATCGTCATCATGACACAATGGACAAATTGTCACGAACCCAAAAAATGAATTTCACCCAAAAAAGTATATATGTGCAACACAATATTTTTGCATAATTTCCATAACTCGACATGCAATGTATGCTTTGACACATGTCTATTTGTAACATAAAATTTTGAAGCAGGAGTTCCATCAACATCAATATGTTCCTTAATTTTCATCTTTCTAAACCTTTGAAATGTTCGTACTACTTTGCAACAAAGGCCAAGTCAAGTCAGTGTTGTAAGAAAAGCAACTAAAATACATACCTAATTTACAAACCATTGTACAAATACAATTTTAGAACTTATTGCCAAATTACATGCAGGCTGATGTAGCCCAAACCAGTCATTTCCTTCGGATCTTACTTAATTTCAAAAGCAGTGAGGACTATCTTTGAGACCCCCCTGAAGACTATTTTACAGCATAAATTTGCCCATACATGCAAAATTTCAGCTACTCCAAAGGGAATCAAAGCAATTGTTTACAAGTAGTGAAGCTCCTCTCCTAAAAATATTTAATTTGTGAATCCGGTAATAAAACCAATTAGAAAAATTAAAATTCCATCTCTTTCTAAAAGTGACTGCCAAATGATAAGTGGAATATGAGAGGATTTATTACTCTCATATTTTATTGCTCATTTGGCAGGACAGCAATAAAATGAAAGTTTTTTATACACCCACTTTTTTACCAGAAAATGTGGTTAGAATCTAACTTTATTTTTAAACTGTCGACTTTGTAATATTATTCAACATACGAATCAACAAAGAGTTATGAACGAGACGAGAAAATACGTGTTTGGATGAAATTTATTTGACTTGCACACACAATTTTTGTGACAAACTTGACTTTTTGAATGGAATGAAAATTTGCAGATTCAAAATACAAGTTTAGATTTACATGGGTCCTTTTACTTGAGCCGCATGTCCTGTTCTTGCACAGCGAATAGTGGAATTGCTGAATTGTTTGCATCCTTCCTTGCTTGTATGGAATCGCTGACAACAATGTTAACAATAATTTAATCACAAGTTGTATCTCCACGGTCAAGTTTATCTACAAGAAAGAAGATGATTCTGCATGTTATAAAATGTTTTAAGAATTGCATTGGTACATGATTGTCGTTTATTGCGAGGTGAAAGTGAGAGTCGATACATAAGTTCAGTAATCATTTAGATGGTCAAACTGTAGTCGTAATGTCTGCAGATTTTAGCAAAAGATTGTTACCAGATAACCTTTAACCATTTGCGGACAACCAATTACAGTAATTATTCCGATGGTAGATATTTTTGCAAAGTGATGATGTAAATTGACGCCTTTCTTTCGTGTGGGCCAATAAGTTTCCAAATAATTTTTTGTATTATGTTACTTACGTGAGTATTAATTTCACTTTTTAGACAAATTACATAATGAATAATAATTTAGGAAGTGGGTGCTTATTCATTAATATTACGGAGATCAAAATTTGAGCCGGATATTAGGTCAAAATACTGACAGCTTTTTATCAAATATAAGTAGTCCAAGTTTTGTGGCTAATTAAGCCAGATAAATTTATTTAAAAAATTCTTACGCTTTACGCACCAGCCAAACAAGATCGTAAATCTTGAATTGAATCTTTTCGCATTTAGTTATGTCACTGTGCACGTTAAATATCCTGCAATAGCAAGCTAGAAAAAGTTGAATTGGTTCGTAATTCGCTTACTATAACTCGCTAGTTATGTATTGCATGCATATGAACCAGTATTTTATAAGGTAATTGGTATTTAATTAAAGTTTATTGATAAAAGTAAAATGATCATGATTTCCAATTTTCTGTTTATTGCCTGTGGGTTGTGATCTGATTTTCTTTCCGTATGCGTGCCCCCAGCGAGTGTCGATAACTGTCCAATTTTTCGACACGCGATTAAAATTGGCTCACGCAAAATGGTACCCGAAATTAATTCAGCGTAATCTTAAATTGATTATTAATAGTTAGCAACAATTTAATTAACATTTAAAAAATATTTAGCTGAGTATTAACTCCAATTAGTATTTTAATGCATATAAAACTATAAATTGATGTTGTCTTAAAGATTTTGTGATTCCGAATAATAATTAATTTGCAATTATTTTCGACCATTACGAGGTGGCGAAGAGACTTATATTTATCCTTTGTGGGTGTGGCTTGGTCATCTCATAACCTGACACGACGTCAGGGTGGAGTTCCTTCTCCTCACTACGTGTGTCACAGATTAATTGCCCTTTTACCTAGACAAACATTCCTCTTCTTCTGCTGCACCTGGGTTGGTTCACTCTTCTAACATTATTTGCAAATTACATGCAAATTAAAAAAGAAATTTGAGAAATTCATAGCTTTTCTCGATAATTTCCTGTAACCCAAGTAAATTATGAGCTGCATGAGGTCTCCGATGCCAAAACATGGCAGAAGCAGAATTTATTCTGTTGTGACGAGGCGTCATTTTCATCTCAACGTTGAAAATGAGATGCTCATCGTATACCACATGGAGTAATTAAGTAGCAAAAATTATGTATGATGATGACCCTGCTGGTAATAATTAATGATATGAGCAATTAAACAGAAGAGGTTGCAATGAAACAAAAACATTGTAGATAAATAAATCGAATACTTATACGAATTTGAAATTGACTATACACGAATATCACTTTCACTTATGCTGATCATTCATGATTACCCAATTCAAATTTAACTTTACAAGATTTTCCTTAAATTCAAATTCAACAAGTGATTACGATTATACGAATCGGATCCTCCTCCTTCGACGAGGTACTTATCGTGACAAGGGGGCGCACAGTGTCGACATTTTGGTCGGCATAGATTATCTCAGTGGTGGTCGCGATAACCTATGCCCGGAATCATAGCATTATTTTATTGGGAATACCCCTGATTTTCATTGACTAGGTAAAATCGCAATATATATTTGTAAACAAAAAAACTATTAATTTTGAACGGATGTATGTACATAATTTTTACTGCAAAAAAAACTATCTATTCGATTTTCATGTCGTGTCCCTGACAGTGAAGATGATGATGACGAGACTCACTCACGAAGATGAAACCGGCGTGACCACTTGCTCATCATGGTTGCATTGTAATCTTCACTAATTCGTCTTCTTCTTCTAAAGTGCAACGATACATTGATACGACTGCTGACATTTGAACCCTCTTGGGGATGGGGCAGTAGTGTTAAAAAGTGGTGGTGGTGGTGGCTTCGTCGTCGTCGTGGGCGAAATATGGCAATTTTACTTCCTTCCGTGGCTTCATCGCATCTTTGTTGTAAGTAGTAAACACATTACGTTGTAAGGGGATTGTTTTACTGCAAGGATGCTTTTTTTGGGGAGTATCTACATATGTATGATTTCACATTTTTTGGTATGTTCATCTTCACCGAGTATCTTCTAACGACGTGACATTGACCATCATACAAATTTCTGAGAGACAAAACCAGACACGCAATTGTCCCCTGGCTCAGTTTGAGTTTGGTAGTGGCAGCTTCATATAAAACGGAAAAAGTTTTTTTTTAATTGCCATTTTATTTTGTGGTTTTGTTCGTTAAAAAATGAAGTGTTTAATAATCATTGCGGTGTTAGTGGTTGGGACGAGTTACGCACTTCCGGAACCACCAGTACAGCAACAAGGATGGGCACAGGCTGCACCACCGGTACAACAAGCACCAGTAGCGCAAGGTGTGAATTTCATGGAAATTTTTTTGAGAATTTTTGAAAATTACAGAATTTTACAAAATTTAATTTAAAAAAATATTTATATATTCTTTATTTATTTCCAGGCTGGGGACAGCAACAAGCCGCCCCACAACAACAGTCCGGTTGGGGTCAACAACAAGCCGCTCCAGCAGCGCAAGGATGGGGTCAAGCCCAACAAGGCGCCCCACAACAGCAAGGATGGGGTCAAGCACAACCACAAGTTTCCAGTGGTTGGGGTCAAGAGGGGGGCAGCGGGGGTGGCAAAGGTGGCCAGAAAGGGATCGACTGGGACTGGAACTTTGCTCTGGGCTACCAAGGAGAAAAAGGTGGTCAGGGAAAGAACGCTGGGGGTTGGGGAGCCGCACCAGCTGCGCAATCCGGCTGGGGACAGTCTAGCAGTGGTGGGGGTGGCTGGTCTTCCGAACCCGAGACCAACATCAAGAAACCCAGCATTGGCGATATATTCGGCGCGATTGCTTCCTTCCCAAGAGAACTTAAGAACTTGCTGAAGGACTCTGGTCTCTGGATCCTGTTTCTTCCTCTGCTTATCATCATCCCCTTGTTTATCTTCGCATTCAGCGCAGGTCACTTTCATATGACATAAAGTCATTAAATTTTCAAATTTCCAATTTGAAAAATTTTTGTAGGCAAGTTTTTCGGAGGAATGGACGAAGGTTGGGGTTGGGACAAGAGGTCATCGTCCACGAAGACCTGGTTGGAAACGGAGTGGGATAATTTACGAGGTTTCATCAAGGATCCTAAAGTTCAACGGGCAGCGAAGGGATTCATGGATGAGTTTGTCGCCAAGAGAATCGTCACCAGTGTCACCGAGGAAGACGCCGTCGCTGCGAAAAATGTCGAACAGGCCACACCGGCCAAAAAAGTTAACAAAAAAGTGAACAGCAATAAGAGACGTTGAGACAGAAAGACTTTTTAAGCACTTAATTTATATTTAGGTAAGTCCATCACGGTCAAAATCACTTACAAAAAATGACCCACAAACAAATTTCCACAAATTTTATTCATAATTTCAGAATGGGACACATGTCCGACCCGAATCACCATATTTACATGTGGTGACACAGATTTACATAGGATACCAGGAGAACCAGACAGAGTATGAGAGCTTATCATAATAATAATAAGAAGAAGAAATAATGTAATTTATCCTAAACACAAAGTAAGAAAGATGTCACACAAAACGCAGCCAATTCCAAGTGACACTTTGCATCTAGCAGGGTGCCAATATATTTACAAGGCGTACTATTTACCTGCCAAGACGGACATTCTTACTTGTTCTAATATCCATTAATTAAATTCATCCCCTGACTGACTGACACAGACAAAAGAGTGACATTAAGGATGACATAGTAAATATATTCACACCAGATTTTCCCATTTGTTGGACACCAGCACTTACGCAGCATTTGTGTTAATGCTCTCTCAAATGCAGTTAAGTTTCTCACTTACTTTTACCTAAATTACGCTTTTTACTTGTGACTGACTGCCTACCGAGATGTAAAAACCGGTTTCATGATTTTCATCATCTTCTTGGTCGTGAAATGAAATGAACAAAAATCATGACAAACTTAAAACGAAACGGACTTGCCAAAACAGAAACAAAGATATCCTTAATATCGTCTTAAGCCTGATATCTCTCCTCCTACGACGGCTCTAAAGGTATCGACTTTTTGACTACAAATTGAAAATTAGACAGATTCTTGTACCTAATCCTTCACTAATGCGGGGTTAAGCTTTTACTTTCAAAGGAGGGCGACGAGATGGACCACAAATTATTAATGACAGATACACACAGACAACTTAATTTGGCTGAATCATCAAAAGATCAGGTCTTCTTCTTCGTTCCCTCGTATGTTTTCACTTTCAGGCTCAAAATCATGACCAGATTTAATACATTATTGTATTTTTTAATGTAAAACAGTGCCAAACAATATATTGTATTTCTTGTAAAAAATTTTAGTCATGCGATTTTTGTTGAGATTTCAATTTCAGTTTATTTTTTATTTTTGCTAATTTTTTACACAGTAAAAAATGCATAATCCTTTCACTCTCTACGTTTACTACATTTACAGTCAAATCAAAAGTTAGTCATACTTTTTTTTTCAACGTGCAATATCCGCAAAGAAAGGAACTTGTTTTTCTAATGGAAGATGACCAGATCATCGTTTCATTCAATTGTGTGTATGTAGTATGCAAATTAGATGCAATTTTAATTTTATTTTTTAACAAGGCAAAAAATTTGCGCATCTTCGTTTAATATTTATTTGCAGGTATTTGCCGCAAGAAAAAAACTTTCTCTTTCATATTGTTGCTGAAAGGTCATAAATTTCTTGAGGAGAGGGAGATTTATGACGATAAACTTGTCTATCTGTTAAATTGTTATCGTATTTATTTTTGTACTTTTTAACTTTCTTAAAAGTTGAAATTGATTAAATACATAAATGCATGAATAGTTTTATTTATTTCTTATTCATTGTTTCTGTTTTTTCGTTGTTTGTTAGAGTGATATTTTTATAGAATTTTGAAAAAGTTCGACTTTTTATAAAAATATAAAAATGTATGCATTAAATAATTAAAAATATTTTTGTTAAATGTATTTTTATCGTTATTAAAATAAAAATGTTTAATTGTTTAAGTAACTTGACTTGACGCCAAAATTATTATTTTTTTGATTTTATATATTTGTATTATGGCAGATTCATTCATTTCATTGTAGGATGCTTCGAAATTCTAAGTTTTTGATGCTCAGAATTTTACACAGTTTAAAAATATCCAATCCTATTAATACCACTTTTACTTCGGTTCAACAATATTTCGGAATGAAATAACAAAATTGAATGTCACATCACAACTAAAAAAATATGTTATTCAACTCCAACCAAATTAGATTTTTAATTGAGCCAGACACTAATTTTCGAAAATATCTGAAGATATACAAATATTTGCTCGAAAATATTGACAGATCGTTATATCGTTATCGAACATGATATCCGATCCTCTCATTGAGACCACTCTTACAACCAAACCTTTTTTATAAACCAGGAATGTAAATACATACTCGAAACCACAAAATTGCTTGTCATTTCGTTCGTGGTAATAAATCTAATATTTGCGATGAATATTTGACGAACCGTGACTGCCTGCTTTCTCTCGTATTCACTTCGTGAGTCCAATTCATGTTGATTTAATGTCACGCAAATAACGGATGGCATATCGAAAATCCAATTTATGTATAGGAGAAAGTACACCTTTCTTTCTTTCTCCCCCTCTGTTTGCAAAGTCACTTGCCATGCCACACGCCCCAAAAAAATTTGGTTACACTCATTTTGCTTTTGCTTGCAGTACTGCATGCACTTGGTAAAAGTCAACATGTCGAAAATTACATAATAGTTCATACGCCCGCAATATTTACGTGTCAATTCTGCGTCTTTGTCCTGAAGGACAATGTTATTTCATTCCCGGTCATCTTCCCCCTTTGGCCAAATAAGTAGGATGCGAGGATGAGAAGTGTTCGCACCGTGGCACTTTTAACTCTAACGTTTGTTTCAAATTTTGTGACGACGATGATGCCGCATAAGAATAATCAGATATTGTCATTGATAAGTTGCAAGCAGGGTGCCTTATCGTTACGTTCCGAGCTTGAGTGCATCTACCAGAATTATGGAACACCTTTGAATTTGAGTGGGGTCACGGTTCGTGCGACAGCACCGGTAAGTTGGAGCATAATTTATGGAATTATTTATCGTAAAATTAATAATTAATTTTCCAGGAAGGAAATTTGACGCAAGGAGAAATCGTTTTCGAAACGGTTCGCCAACCAACGGGGGAAAATCGTCTACGGTTTAAGGAAGGATTTGGCGTCGAAGTTCTTCACGGGTTGCAGCATGCATTAGAATTTAAGTACGTTTTTGATTAACTTAAAAATTAGAAAATTTTATTTTGATAAGACAAATTGGTGTGTTATCTTAGCGTAAAAGTTATCACGGCGAAAGGATGGGCGACCCAATACCCGAATAAATCATGGTTCGGCATGGCACGACAAATAATTGACGACGTGGCAGACTTATCCCTCGCCAAGACAAGTATACTTCCAAATCGGGCGCAAGATTTGGGTTATCTTGTACCCACCCATGGATTAGGGTAGTTATCAATACATATTTACTTATCAGTCATGAACTGGATATCTACTTATCAATTTCCAGACTATACGCTTTCTTCGTCCAGCCCTCGTCAAAAACGGGACGCAACATTTTCCTCGAACCGTTCAGCACATCTTTGTGGATTTGCTTGCTCGTTATTTACCTCATCTTAATTGCTTCGATCAAAATAATTTGTAAACTTGGGAAGAAAATGATTGGTCCCCTTTCCCCAGAAGATCACACACTCACGGAGGCGGTCGCAATTTGGAGTTGTCACACAATTTGCCAACATGGATTTCACTCTCCGCCAAAATTGTCCTGCTTGCGGATCGCTATTCTGACCGGGGTAGTTCTCGGACTTATTTTATACGTGTCCTACTCAGCACAGTTAGTCTCCATCTTTTCCATTACGACGCCACCCATTAAAAACATTGAGGATTTACTCAAAAGTCAGATTAACATTGTGGTCGATGAGAATAATCAGAGGGCGAGGAATATGATTGAGGTGCAACTTATTTACAGATATTTAGTAAAATTTCCTCAGAATGGGGACGCAAGCCATGTTCAACCCAGATTATTTTTTGAGAATGTTATTTTGAACGAGCAACTCTTTAGAAACACCATTTACTTCGGGAGATGCGAAAAATTCGGCAAGTTTTGGAAGCCGCAAGTTCGCGAAAATGCTCGATTTTCCAGTGGAATTTTTGCTTTAGGGCGGCAGTTGCGCAGTTCCGCGAACCTGAGGCGTCAAAAACTTTGAATTTTTCTCATCTGCGTAAGTGTCACACTAAATGTTGTTGCTCTTTCAAACTAACATGGTAAAAAAATAATCTGGGTTGATGAATATGGTTTGCTCCCCACTTTGTCAGTGTTATATTTTTACTTTTGGTCACCCCAGACTCCGCAGGGTACGAACAACGGATCTGCTGCTAACCCTGACCCTACCTCTCGCCGATTGCAAGCCCACATAAAGTCACAACAATTAAAGAAGACCCTCGCCTCCGCGGGAGAGGGCGGAGGTGCCATCCTCAAAAATGGTGATCCAACCTCCGGCGGAGCACCCGTTTCTTTCATAACTTTTAAAGACACATTTTTCACAACGATTAAAAACACGTTTAAAACCGGAGATGACGAACTTTGTCTGAAGATTTCGACAGTTCCCGTGACCGGAGGAACTTTCAAGAGCGGGCTCTTTGTCAAAAAGGGGTCACACTTTAAGGAACCGTTCAACGTGAAGTACGGAAACAGTGAATTTTGTGCATTTTTTAAGTACAATCACTATTTATTAACTTGTTATTGATTTAACAGAATGATCACGATGTACAATTCTGGTCTGATGGCACGTTTCGTAATTAAATACGAGGACACTTACACCCCACGATGCAATCGGGATGGGGACACCCTCGCCCCAGTGATTACGATACCGGACGTAATATTCGTCTTTTACGGACTACTGCTCGGATTTTTGGGCTGTTTGGTGATCTGTGGTTTGGAATTTTTTATCGCAAAGAGTCGCATCGTTAATTTTTTACTTGTCGTTTGCGGTGCAATGATGAGTTGAAAATAATTGATAGTGATAAATTCAAGCCGACCCGATCATGATGATCGTTCCCACGGGACGTATCAATGAAAATAAGTGACACTCGACACGACTTGACGATGACATTAATAAATTATCCAATAATTATGCACGTTGCTGATTCTCCGGTCAGATTTGTGATTGGCATGTTATTGTTGAAAAGCGTGAGCTGGTTGGACAATTTGGTATAATGGGACACAATAAATACAAGGACGGAAGGAATTTATGGAGATGTTGTATTTCATTTCGGATGAAAAAGCTGTAGCAATAATTTAAGGGCTTGGCCTTTCCAGCATTTATAATCCCATCCAGCCAACAACTTTCGACCCTGTGTTTATATATCTGTCCACGATTTGGAATGACATTCTGCTTAATTGTTCTTCATATCGAGCTACGGATAGTCGGATCGCCATTGTCACAAAATAATATGCGAAGCTGTCTTTTGTACCACAAAAAATGCATGTAAACTCACTCAGTGGCCGCGGAAGCCGTCGGGACATCGGGGGACATTAACATGATAGAATAGGGGAGGGATGGGTTTATATAACATGGGCAGATGATGAGGACCTCGAATACCCGTGGGGACATTGTCCCTCTGTTTCCACGCTTCCGCGGCCACTTTATAAACTTATTTATAGTCCAGTATAAATGGCATTTTGCTTGCCTGGAGTCAGTTGCATTATTTATTTTCGTCGTAAGCATGAGTTATTATGGTTGGCTTGGGTTGCTCGAGTGGATTCCTGACTTAGAAAAGCGTTGCATTGTTGTCGTCCAGCAATCTTGTCAATTTGACTGGACAATTCCATCCATCACACCATTTTATCCAATCCGAGAAGAAGAGAGCTAAGAAAACCAACATGATTTTCATATACCTCGCTTTTTCCACTGAATGCTGCATGTGCATTGTTGTACTTGGAGAAAAATAATAATACATGAAAAAAGACATGAAAAAAGGCAAGCAAACGTCATTGTGCATTGTGTCATGACTGAGGAGAAAGATGAGCGAATAAAAATATTTAGTAGTAGATTTCTAAATGATGTGCATGCATATTCTTCTTCTTTTTCTGATCCGTGTCCATTGTCAATTGTGTGCTCATGCACTCTTGATTTTTGTCAGTCAGGGGCAAAAAAAGTGACCGCATCACATTTGCATAACGTAATTTAAATATGTACCTGCACAAAGTTTAGATTACGTAATATGTATGTACAATCGCTTTTCATGAGTTGAAATTAAGCATGTTTTATGAATTGGAGTCAACTTAATGTGTAATAAAATGTCCTGGTCGAAGTTTTTGGTGTAAACGAACGGTACTCATGAAAACCCACCCAGAAAACCCGATGACACTTAATGGGCACAAATTATCTACTTTTTTCACTCCACAATGAAAACACGAATTATTATCTAAATCTTTGAAATGTGGGGCGCACGAGGTGAGACAGTCACTGGACACTGCTGATGACGTGACATGACGCTGTTGTCATCTTTCTTGACTAGTCATCATCAAAAAAGTAGACAAGTAAAAGGTAACAAGAAGCTAAAAAATGGTGGATTCAAGTAAGTTTACAAAAAACTTCACATACATTTTTCCAGATGTATCCTCCTTCATCATCTTTACTGTTACGTGGCATTGTGCATGTTGACATTTATTACGTTGTGATGATGATGCCATCCCTGAAGGGGTAGCTTAATTTCTTTTTGGTCTGATTTTGATCGATTGTGTTGCATTCTATTCATTCGCTTGTGCTTATTACCAACCAACCCACACCTGTCCGGACTGGTTAATTCCCTCGATTCATTTCTCTCACTCTGGCTTCCTCTACGCATCTTGGATGCAAGATGCACTTGTTGTCTGTCGTTTTCTTCTTCTGGAAAAAGGTCGGAAGATGGGATAGGATTTGGTTGGGTGAGGGATTATGTTTCAAACTCTTTTAATCTTTGGGATTCGTGGCGTGCATGTGGAACTCTGGAAGCCGTATGTACATATGTACATACTTCCTAAGAAGACCTAAATATGCGGACTAGTTTACAGTTACATTTTTTCAGTCATCATCAGTTCAAACTGTTAAGTAATGCTCCTGTCAAGAAGGGAGTGAGGATTAACAGAGTGACAAAACAAAGGTGGAGGTAAATACGATCATGCTCATTTATGAAAGAAGTCAGGACCAAGCATTAAAAATTCTGCATAATTTGAGTCATTTATTTCTTCAAATTTTGCAAAATTTACACCTTCGCCTTCATTATCACCGCTTAACCGAAATAAGTCCAAGATGTGCCGCAATACTGTTGACCACCACCCCCTGGGAGCCAGACAACTTCTTCTGACTAGCCTCGCCCGACGACCTTCCGGTGGAATCCAGCTGCATGTACTTGACAATGCTAAGACTCATCCGTCGGAGGTGTTGGTCCGACGAATTGACGGCTTTCGACGCCCTAGGACCGACCGGAATGTCCTCGTGGGACGAATTGGTGGTAGAAACGATGGCCATGGACCCTTCACGGTCACTCAGGCTGGACAAATGCAGCATTTGACTCGAATGCGGCCGTTTCGAAAGTTTTCCTCGGCTGCTGGCACTGACTCCGGGAAACACCCGGCTCTGTTTGTCCTTCCTGGCGGAAGGCATTTTCGGATAGAGAGCGGAATGCAGGTGGTACCGTTCTGTGATGAGGGATTGGAAGGCGGAGGCGCATCGGGTACTTGGGATACCTTCAGAAATTGGGAAATTGGGGTTATCTTCTTAGTATTGATAAGATTCGTAGTTTTAAAAATATTTACGTACAACAGCCGCACGCTTGTAGTAAGAGGGCATCCTTCTTAACGGCGCGGACAAAGTCTTCGTACGTGATTTGACCGTCGCGATCAGTGTCCAATCTACATATTTACGATGAAGTAAGAAACTTACTGTAAAATCGGTTATGAAGGGTCAAATTGGGCCTACTTTTTCATCGCAATTTCCACAATGTCCCTCTCGCAGTCTTCAATCTCATCGTCATCGATCCCATATCCGGACAAGATGCAGCCTTTCAAACAGTGGTGCAATTCTTCTCGGGCAAGTGAACCGTCGCCATTCATGTCGTAAACGTTGTACGTAAAATCAGTCAACTGTTCCAACGTTCCGCGCAACATGGTCGACATGCCACGAACCCATTCGATATCGTTGATCTGAAAATTAGTGAATGATGAACTGGTAAAAATTATTGTTTATGCAAATTTTATCACAGCGTACAAATCCGTCCTGATCGTGGTCAAAAGCGCGGAACACGAGGTCCAACATTACGTCGTCTGTAATGGCGAATACAATGCTGAGAATTTCACGAAAACGGTTTCTATCCAAGGGCCCAATTTCCTCCATTTTTTGATGAATGAGGAGCAACATTCGGACCTGGAATTGGGTGGAGTATAGAAATTTACAATTTTGCATAAATTGGACGTGATTTCGCAGACAAACCTCTTCTGACGTGAAATTTGTCGCTTTCGATAAGTGATCCGACAAAGAAGCCAATTTGTGGGTTTGAGCGAGACGGTTTTTCTTGGCTTTTGGCATTTTGTCGAGAATTGAAATTGTTTCTTGTTATTTATGGAAATATATTTTAGTTTTGATCAAACTAAATAAAATGGCAAGGATGACAAAAAATTGACAAATACAATTTTTTCAAAATCTAAAATTCTAACCTAGACAAACAATTCTGAATTTATTTTTTACAATATCTGGTTTACATGGCTTTGATTATATGGATCTGAAAACTTTTGGCATAAATAGCTTTAAACTGGGCTAAAATTTTATCGGATTCTAACAAATACAATACAAAATTTTATATATTCTCATCTTGCATATCATCGGAGATTAATTTTATCCGATAAAATACCACACACGTAATAAACGAACTTTTTACAATCTCCCAAAGCCCAAATCCACCCAGTCTATTTGGGCATTTATTTATGACCGGAGACGAAAAAAGATGAGTTATGGCATCCATTTACATTACTTTCACGTCAACATTCAACCTAGCAAAGCATGCATGTAAAAAAGCATTCTCATATTCTGATTGTAAACTAAACATGAACATTGTACATATGTAATAAACTGCATATTCCATCGGCTTTCTTATGTATGACCAACTTTCCTAAAACAAAGGCATCCATATTAAGAAATCCAGTCTAAATTTAATCAAATCTTAGTACGTAATCTTACTTAAATTTGTGTTTATTACTCGCAATGCTGACTATTTATTACGCTATCCGATATCCAATATCGCCCAATATTACACCACGAAGACGTGATTTGACTTTGTTAATCAATCCAATCCAAGTAATTCTCAGTTTCATCGTTCTACACAGATTTTGGAATTACACAGATAAAAAAGTGGTGGGATGATCTTCCTATCACTGCAAATTGGATAATTTGTTTCATAATTTTCTCAGGTAGGTCGGTAGGTGAGTAAGTAACAAGAAGGAATAAAATGCCGAGCTGCAAGTGATGTGAGAAAAGTTTTAATGTTTTCCTCCTCCCTAATTCGAGGTGACTTTAAGAATGTGATAATTTCTACATGTTTCGAATTTTAATTGGGAAAGTAATCACGACGATGTCTCCTGGACTTTCTGACTTTTATTACGCACTTTTACACAATATTTCTCTCCAGTTTCTGTGCTAATCTTGACGGGTGGGAGACGTGGCCATATGTATAGCGTCTTCAGTAGTATGTACATATGCACATCGGTTGGTGCATTATGTAGGTACAAAACTACTTGAAACTCACTCTCCCTTTCTTACATTTTCATATCTATTATGTAAACTGGAATCTGAGATAAATTATGATAATACTGATAATCGCGAGATGTAGGTACACCTCTCTGTTGGTGAACTAACTGATGATCAAAAAGCCTCATAACTCCTCAACCACGTAATTATCCTGTCTCATCAAAATTGGAATCAGAGTCAAGTATCCTCCCGTGAATTACTTTACCTTCAGGATGTCCGGCTAAGCCAGGCCACACACATATCACACCCAGAATTTCAGATCATAATGCAGTGAAATGAACATGCTTTTTTGTGTATTTACATGAAGGTCAAGGACAATAATGCAACTCGAAGAGGGATGCTCGGGATCGTTATCTCAGAGTCGTTGTCGTCTTCGTGAATTTGAGGATTATTTATATTTACACCGTCGTAAAATTTCTCGTTACGTAACACCCAGACTTATCTACCTACATATTTTTTCGAATAGTTTCTTGACTTTTTGACTACCGTCCAAAAAAATTAGACAGTTAGGTAAATGAATTGCATTGCAGTAGACTATACAAGTCGGGACAAATACATAAAGAAATAGCACTAATGCGTTGCCAATCTGTACGTAAAAATGGTGCTCTTTTATGTCCGTCTTTCCTGTAAAATCTCATCTCACCAACTGAATAAAACAATTCAGAATAGAATGAACCGATGCATTCATCGCAATATCGCATTGATTTTATGTATTTCTTTTAGTTTAGATTTAACACAAGCTTGCTTTTTTCTGTGGTTTGGTTTGGGACGCAAAAATTATGCAGATGCAGACGAAATACGTCATGAAATGCATTTCAGTTTAATTCGGGAGGCATTTGTGGTTGGCTCTCTATTTTTATTTTAACGCGTTACTCGCTACAGATATGTTGTGACAGATTGATTTATGCTGCACGAAACCAAACCAGAAACCAAACCACCCAAGAAACTCACAACCTTTCCCGGACGGGGAGACTAATTGTTCTTTAAAACTTGGTCAATTTTTAATTAAAAATTTCAACCAACATACATAAAGGTTTCCCGCTGTGTTTTATGCTCCATAAAATTTTGCACATTTACTTTTTGCACACTGTTTTGTCACGTTTGCCATTTGTTTACCAAGTTGGCCAAAAGTTTTTATGATGCATGGAAGAGATGGATGACATTTCCGTAATAAGAAGTGACATCCTCAACGACGACATGAGCATCGGAACTGGAATCTAAATTAATTATATGGCTACTTATAATTTCATGTTTGCTGGTGAAATAAAAAAAATGCGATAAAATTTCATCTCAGGACAAGTGAGAATAAGAAGATACACTTTTTAACGACATTTCGGTTTGCAATCCTTCCTTGACTAACGAACGAATAAAGTGAGCAATCATGAAATTATTATGGACAAAAAAAAATTTATGTATTTTCCCAGACTTTGCTTACTTACACATTTGCCACTATGTAGATTCTTGACAGTTTTACCCTCCTAATTTCATTCTATTCCGCGTGCAGTTTATGTAAAAAAGTGCAAAGAGAAATGTGTTATTATTTCTTTTTACAGATGACACATTCCAGACGCATCTCATAACCTTCTTTGCCCCGTAAAATTCTCGGCATTTTTATGACGAATTCGCATCTCAATAGTCAGTAAATTAAACAAGATTCCATTTTAAACCTTCAACTGCGACCACAACTTGTATCCTCGTTGACAGCCGAGTGCGTGATGTGGTGCAATTGTTGTTGTTGGACTGGAGGAGGAAAGTCTCACTCGAATATGAACTCATTCACGAGTGAGGAATGCATAATTTTCGTGGTGCAGTCAGTTAGTGGCAAATTGAATATGCGACTGAAAAGAAGATGGTAAAAGAAGAAGAAAGTCGTAAAAGAATCTCGACAGATTTACAACAGGTTGAGCAGCAGAAAGAGAGAAATTACAGTCTACATCTTATTCAATTCCGTGCACGTGGTTTGGCTACACGGATTTTTTGGAATGCAACTCATGCAAATATTTTGAGCAAATGAGACGAGCATTTTTTACTTATTTATTGTATAAAATAGAAGAAACAGCTTATGTAAATAATTTAATTCTTTTGCAGAAAATGTAGATTTTTTGTACATAAGTTAATCTTTGCACAATTGCGATTGTGCGACGTAGATATTTACGATGTGCGTATATCATACCAAGTGCAAGGACCTGATAAAGAAGAATAATTCCAGATCCAGTTGTAATACGACCAAAATCTCGCATAAGATTTGTGTCCTGTTACGTAACCATTTCCTAAATTGGAATAATAATTTGTTACGTCCTCTCTGGAGAGTTATTTGGCTAAGTGAGAAAGAAAAGAGGTCCATTTAAGGACGGAGGAAGGAAGTGATTTAATGTCCGCTCACTTTTTCCACTGATCCATATGCTCTCCTCGCTGTAAAAACACTAATGTTACGTATTAATGCGATTCTGGGTATTAATAGATGACTCGAGAGAGGTTTATAATCACATTAGTTAGGAAAATGTGGACGCATTTTGTTCGCCAGGGGATGGCTAGTTAGTGCACTCATGATGGAGGTCTACCAGCGTATGCTCTCAGATTTTGACAAAATTAGAGTCAACCGATCACAAATTTAGTTAATATGAAATTTGCGAAATACACGATCTCCTAATATTCAGGTTTTGCATAGATATTTGAATCAAAGGAGGAGAAACCGCGTCCTGGAAAATTTTACACTTTCAAAATTCACTGAACGAATTTTGCAGTTAATTTTGAAAGTGTAAAATTAAGGGCGTGTTTTCTCCTCTTCGGATGCAAATATCTCTGCCAAAACTTCGGATTGATAGTACCCTTTGCAAATTTGATACTAATTTTTGTGATTGAATCACACTAATTTGGCCAGAACCTGAGAGCATACGTTGGGACACCTCCTCAGCAAACTTTAAATGTTGTACAAGTAGATATCTACATATCCAGATTATGGCCAAGTTTATTAAATGCAAATTACTACACCCAGGATAATGAAGGGCAGGGATTTTGAACCTTAAGACATTTCGATTTTATGCATGTATTTAACTCTCTCTCCTCCGTTATTACTTTGCTTACTGCACATAAAAATTGTAACATGGTAAACAAGCCAAGCCAACCTCCCAAGTGGGGTAATAAAGAACATGCCCAGTAACATATTTCAATTTGCGACCGAATAATAATGCTAACATTGGTTTGTGGAGCGTCATCGCTCTAATCCGGAACCTCATCAAGGAATCTTCACCCAATGTCATGCATCATTTTAATGACGAGGAGAAGGCGTTGCACTTTTAAACAACCATTTCTATTCAATCCCACGACGATACGGGCGATGCGATGAGATGAGACGGCTTTATTTTCTAACGTCTCAACCCAAAAATCCAATCGCTTTCAAGTTTGGTTCCGTAACGTATCTTTGTATGAATCCTTACATAATCCGATGCACATGTCTGCCCGCATAAATGTGTAAAACTGCACTTGTTGGTTCGTGTTAAAAGTGTTGGGTAATAAACTGGAGCTGTGGAAAAGTTGGGATGAAAAATTCATAACGATTATTCCTGATGAATAGAGGAATAACAAATGTGCAGAATTTTTTTGGCAAGCACTTCCGACTTTTTTTGTAGGAAAATACTTATGGATTAAATTACAAGTTTTTTAAGAAAGGCAAAGTTTTAACATATGCACAAAACTTAACCATTTTTCTAAGCGTGAAAGTTTATGGGGAACATATTTATTTAAAAATTGCTAGCTTTCACCTCAGAGCCGTACCGCGAAATTGTCAGGCCTGGTATGAGCTTAAGTGCCGGGCCCTTTCATAAGTTCAATATTTTCGATACTATGTTATCGCTTTCGCTCCAGAATACTAGGGCATTATGGAACGAAGCAGATAATATTCTACGAGTATTCAGAGCACATTATTTTTCATGGGAAAATGGTGACATTTACTTGCGCTCTTAACTCAGCCATATTTTTGAAAACATCGGCGGGACGGAGAAAAATCAATTACATGAACCTAAGTTGCACAAATATTCGAATATGACATACTTTTCGCTACTTCCCAACGCTTCCCAAACCCTTTGCGATTAAATACTTTTCTATCCATTTTAAAAATTTGAAAAAGTGCCAGACTCATTTGGAATTGGCGAAGATGCAGGTCCCAAAACTCAATTCCTTTTAGTTCTTAGAACACTTATTGTATTATTTC